TACCTCATAGTTAATACAAAAGATTTTTTCTAAACTTGGATCATGGGTCATTTACCTTTCATAAGAGTCAGTGTGGGGTTTAAATAAGATAAACTATTCGAACTTGTTCTTATGAGAACTAATAGCCTCAGGCCAAGCCCCTCTGCTATTATTTCTCATAAAATCCAGTACTCATAGTTTATGATAGTTTATGAATTATAAGAAGATTCGGTGACCTTCTATAAAATTACAAACTGAACATGTTGCTATATCTTAGACGACTACCTGGTTGTTATTCACTAAAGGGAGTCGCATTATAGGTTGGCACATACAAATGCTTTTGGGTTCCCTGGCTGCCACTTGGTTTGGGGTTGTTGCTTTTAGGGGCTGTAATTAGGAATAGAGGTTTTGGTTCAAATGAGGGATCCCAAACTTATCTGTAGGCCATATGCCTATGTAAAAGTAGAAGTGAGCTTATGAACATCGATAGCACTCATAAGCTGCCTTCCTACTACTTTTCCCTAGGCCTATCTGTAGGTCAATCGACGGAATTATGATTAAGCTTAGAGGTGCTGTGATTCCAGAGATTAATAAATGCTGCATCTAATATAACACCATTGTAATTAAGGGCATTCTTGAGTGGATTTGACCTAGGATGAAGAAACTATATAGGTGACCACGGGCGATGAAAGCACATTATAAGTAGTATTCGCGAATTCAACTAACAGCTGCCAGATCAACTTACTATTTTATGCCTCATTAAATATTAATAATAAATGCCACTATTTCATTCATATTAAAATGTATTTGCCATCAAAAGTAGGTTAAATCATCGCCTTTTACCCAACATATGACATCATGAATACTTTCAAAGTGCAGTCTAATACTGAGTGAGCCAAAAATGTAGCCCAAACATATTCCGCACCTTGTTTAATGTTCTTTCATTTTACTAAGTTTAATTGGCCCTGCCTAAATGGTCGGGATTTTATGTCTATAATACGAAATATGGTCCAAAATGCCAGCCTCATCTCATGACTATGGGCTATCTCTGATATAATGTAAACCCCAACAACAAGTTGGAGAAAAAGTTCTGTGACCGTGAACTTACAACCTCAACCGACCAGTGCAGGTCTGCCTGAAGGGACGAAATTTGTAGAATGGCCATAGAATTGTGGCAATGAGAAATGGACCCATGAAACATGGTAAAACGCAAAAAGATATTACATGCCTGGTAAAATGAGCCAAATGTGATTTCAACTAATACTGGATAAATGAGTTTATATCATTCCTTTTGATAGCAATTTTGTCTCATCCTGTAATTCATTTTATTTTCACACTTATTCATTTCAGCCTGCCCTAACAAAAATCTAGGTTGAATAGTCAAAACCAGGTACATGTAATTACAAAGAACTATTCAGTATATAAATAGCTCTACGTGAATGACACAACTGTTTTATACACAAACAATATAAGGTAAATTACAGGATTAAGCCAATCCATAACGCTGAGCAAGGGCGTTACAATACCCGGGAATTTATCGGTTCGTCCAGTACTTGTTTGTGATAGCGCCCTCTGTAGGTCACTGTGCTTATAGCCTACAGTAATACGGGGTAGGATATCGGGAATTCGGTCAGTTTCTATCCGTCGATTTCGCTATGAATTGAAGCAAGTGTGACCACTTTATCCACTTAAACAATTTGATAATTGATTAAATCTTTAAACAAAATCGATAAACACGTTATACACTTCCTATCTCCTTAGAAATTAGCATGTATTTATGGATTGTGTTTTCGAACAAGGCTCGACCCACCCCAATAGGGAAATCCTTATGCTAATTAGTATGACGTCATATTTTCCTGGGGAATCCTAGATTTCAAGGCCTCAGTCTGTTATTGTGTCAAATGTAAACGCTCTTGGGACGCTCTTTTGCAGACAGAAAATTGACAGATTAGCTTTTAACTTTCAGCTTTGATGTTTAAACATTCTGTATTTCTACCGGACTTCTTGCTGAATATCATATAATGTTATAACTTGATTCGGATCATTGCCTGATTGATCATTCTGAAATTTTGATTGTGATTCATGATTGATTGGCAAGAAAAATAATTCCTATTGTTTTCCAGCGAAGTCAAAATGTTACAGCATGAGTTATAATGTCGAGTTTGCATCATGCTAAATTCTGCTAGTGATTAGAAGTCCATGCACAAGCATACACATAAGAGACAAACACACCCAGGCTCCAGGCCGTGGATGGAAATATAAAACTATTTAAGGCACAAACTGGTATTAATAGACCGATATGTAGTGTCTGCCATGTATTGAAGGTAAACCAATCTGTATTATTAATGTTTCTTCTATCAATACATGGGTTGTGCAATAGAAAAGCAATGGCACAATCAAAAATGTGCATATCAATCGTGAATATCTCTCGGTTCAAAGCTTATTTCCAACAGAATCGTGTCAAAATATGTGTCTGAGTAACAGTTATACATTATAAGATCGCAAACTCTTACCAATTATCAGCCGAATGGCTCATTTTCAACGAAATGTCCTTAAGACAACAGCCCTGGGTCGCGCCTGAGACCAAAAACTACTTCAAATAGCCCTCCCCTAATTATATTGGATACAAGGAGGATTGGCTCCCAGGATCGAAACTCGATATTTTCCAACAATGAAAACGTCGAAATGTCGTTATTTTCTGAAATTAAAACCGACTATAAATTCAAAATAAACAGTTCAAAAGATTCGAACCAATATCTCGATCATTTCTTGTGAGTTTTGGAATTTTTCGTTTGGAAATAAGACCAAAATTCACGATTTAAATGTTGAAGTGAACAAAATGGCGGCTGTTTGAATTCGAATTTTGTATTACGACATACCCATATATGGGACAGAATATCGGTGGTGCACTCTGGGAGCCAATCCTCCTTGATTGGATAATCACATTTATGCGTGCGCGCGCAGCTCATCCAATGAACGAAACGCCACTTCCCGCTGAAATCACCGGGTATTGATCTTTCCCTTGCGCTGAGTAAGTCACTAGATTAGTGTCTGAAACAATGTAGCAAACAAATTATTGTGACACTTAGCTGCCCTCTATTTTGTTATTGTATAATATTAGTATGAAGCACTTAATAATATCAGAAAAATCACGAAAAAAATACCAAAAAATAGGTTCATAATTAACTTTTCCCCTTTACAGTTTAAATCGTGTCTAAAAGTTCAATACAACTTTGCACTAACAATTATTAAAAAGGCCTGCATTTTTTGTGAAAATTGCGTAAGTATAAGGGAAAATTGGTGAGGATAGGTAGATTAGGGACAGCTTAAGAGATAATCCAATCAACTTGATTATCATCCTAATGTAATTTATTGAAGATAAGACATGGATCTAACAGAACCATTTAATTTTGTGGTTAAATTATTTTTCGAACTAAAGATATAGCCCTTTGAAAAATGCTTGCCATATCTTACCTGCACTTTTGGCCAAAAATCACTCAAAAAATAGTCAGAATGGTGAAAAACTGCATGATTTTGAAAGAAATTTGGCAAGGGGGGGGGGAGTTCGCCCTAACCCCCCGAACCCCCCTGGCTGCGGGCCTGTGCATGTGCAATTTGAACAGTTAACTGACTCCACTCAGGTGACTCACTGATTTCAGGTAATACTTCATAACAAGAAATCACAGAAAGATTCTGAAGATGGTGTACAAAAACACCAAATTAAGTAAGATTTTTTGGGTAGTGTAGATCTGAACAATTTCCGCTTGAAAAAGTTAAACAATTTATTAACAAAGTAAACTATAATGCCTTTTAAAGATTTTGAAAAGGCCATTGTACAGATTTTAACATTTATTACATATGATGGTGCCTTTTAAATGACAGTGTTTCACTTGAGAAGAAATGAATTTTCACATCAGCAATTTAACATATTTGCCCTAGCATAGGACTATTACGCATTGAGATAAAGTATTAGGTGAGGAAGCTTGGGAAAGGAGATAATATCCACTGTACTATCTGCATATTTTAAAGTTTCTTCAAAAACATTATGATGAACAAAAAATTAGGAATAAATATGGAAAAATTGAAATAAAATAGATGAAATAAAATATTTGCTGGTGGATGTAATGAAGGAAAAGGTGCAAAAATATATAACATGGGAAATTAAAGGATTGACTGAAAAGACAATATTAAATTAAATCAAACAATATAATTAACATCTTTATCAAATAAACTGTAGTTGCAGTATCATCAGTCTATATTTCGTATGATCAAATACTTGGGGCACCAAGAATAAATCTTCAGAAAGATTCATTTGAGAGATATAGGTCCATGGGAAAATTAAGCATGAAACCTGACCAGAAAAAGGTAAGAATAGAATAACATTAACATATGCCAAATAGGGGAGTTGCAATAAAGCTGAATAAATAGATGTCAGCACTTGTTTATTTTTTTGTTTTGGTTGGGCCAGACTGCCATAGGCTTCAATGTTACTTGCAATAGTCACTATGATTTATCAAAAACTGTTGGTTGAATGTGTCTAAAACTTGAATCGTAGACTATGGGATGACCCCGTTAATATCATATTGTGAATAATCATGAAATCTTTGGTTGTTGAACAAATCAACCAAGGTTTTCAAGAATTCTTACATTGCATCAATGGAGATTTGGTCAACATTTTTTAGAAATGGTGAAAAAGTCAGGAAAAATGATTTAAAAAACATTAATGTATAAATCAAAGTTATTATTGTGGAAAACCTTTCACTAAGTTCAAATATATATTAAAAAGAAGGGAAGTAAATCATTAGAGGTCTAATATGCAAATCTGTTGGCGAGATTTCAAAAATACGATTAAAAGAAACTCATTTATTGATCCTTCAGTTAAATTTGATCATTTGAACTTTTGCAACTATATTCATTAGTCAAGGTAAAGAACTACCTACAACATTAATTTACCAAGGTGTAGTTCATTAGAATTAGAGTTTTTCAATTGTTAAAACATTCACAGCTGATATGATACTTTCAGAATGTGTTATTGAAGACTTTGGTGCTGTTCATGTTATGCCAACTCACCACCCAATCAAGTGGAGTCACAAAGTTGGATCTGGGCTTCAGGGATATCACAAAACTAACAAAGGGGATGTTCATACAATATTCAAATCTAGAAGTTCTTAACTTGCGATTTAATAAAATAGCTGAAATTGAAGATGGCACATTTGCTGGTTTAGAATCGCTTGAAGAACTATATTTGTATGGCAATCGCATAAAAGTGTTACCAAATGACATATTCAGTAATATGTCATCCCTAAGAGATCTTTGGCTAAATCACAATGACCTAGTAGAATTACCAAGTGGAATTTTTAAAGACTTGAAATCACTGACATGGCTAAGCCTTGAGTACAATGACCTGAACAATTTAACAGTTGGTATATTCAGAATCTTGATGTCACTTAAAGTACTTGACCTCGATCATAATGCACTGACATCATTACCAAATGGCATATTCAGTAATTTGACATTACTGAGACATCTTCAGCTTTTTGGTAATAACTTAACATATTTAGAAGAAGGAACATTCAGTGACTTGACTTCACTAAAATGGCTTGACCTCGAAGAAAATTCCCTAACAATATTACCAGAAGGCATATTTTCTAACTTAGAATCTCTGAAATATCTTTTCCTGAGTAACAATAAGTTAACAGCCTTACCAGTTGGTATCTTTGGTTCACTGAAATCACTTCAGCTTCTAAACTTGAATAATAATGAATTGACGATGTTACCGAATGGCATATTCAAGAATCTTGCATCTCTGACTCTTCTCCACCTCCAAAATAATAGCCTTCAATATATCCCTGTTGAAATCTGCAATTATATTGATTATATGCCAAGTTTGTTTGAAGTATACTTGCATGGAAATAAGATAAATAGATATCCACCCAAGTACATGGAAAACATCAAAATACATGAAAGTGATACCTGTATGATTATAGCAAACCCAATAACCACAACAACAACAGAAATGCCAACATCAACAACATCAAAACCAAGAACAAAAATAGTAGAAGGATCAACCCAAACAACAAAACGATTTGACTTCTCAACGCAACCATCTGTCCTAACATCACAACCACTTGATCAAGCAACAAAACAACCTGACCAAACAACAAAACAACCTGATAAAACAACTGACCAAACAACAAAACAATCTGACCGATCAACACAACCATCTGACCAAACAAGAAAACAATCTGACCAAATAAAAGAAAGATCAGACAAAGCAAATGCCTTATCTGAGCAACATCATAAAGATCATGCCTTGATTATAGGTTTGGTATGTGGAATATCAGGTTTAATCCTGTTTGTTATGAAAGTTGCATCATTCTTCATATACAAAAAAATATCAAAACAACATGGATCACCAGATATTGTAACAAACGAGGCACCCTATCATGAAACAGAATCACACATATGAAACAATAAAACAATCCGACCAAACCACAAAACAATCCAACCAAACAACAAAACAACCAGACCAAACAACAAAACAATCTGACTGATCAACACAACCATACAATCCAACAAAACAACTAGACCAAACAACAAAATAACCAAACCAAACAACAAAACAATCTGACATAACAATAAAACAATTATGAAACAGAATCATACATATAAGTGACTCAACCCACAGGGGTTTAAATTAAGCGCTTATCGAGTCGAGGCTTGCTCTATTGACTTCTTTTTTTGTCAAGGCGAATTCCTGTGGACTTAAACCAATGATAAATCTCATCCTATGAGTGCAACATGACATAATAATATGACTAAAGGCTGGTTTGTTTGTGTTTGCCAAACATTGATCAAACAAGACTTACACCGTACATTGTACATTGATAAGTTCTTATTACAATTTTTGTAAACTTTGCCATATATAACATACCAATCTACATAATCTATTAGTAACACTGGCACATGTAAATGTTTTTGAATACTCATATGCATAAATGTCTATTGTGTAAAATTAATCTGAATGTCAAATATATACTAATTTATATAATTTTTAGTATCTTTTGGCATAAATATATATATTTCATAATGTACATAAATGCATTAGAAAATGCTGGCAAATGTATTTTGATGTGAAATAAATGTTTTAGTATACTCTAGCATGTATATAATGTACAAAGTTGTTTTAGTATACTCTAGGCCTAGCATGTATATAATGTACATAGTTGTTTTAGTATACTCTAGCATGTATATGATGTACATAGTTGTTTTAGTATACTCTAGCATGTATATAATGTATAAGTTGTTTTAGTATACTTTGGTTTATGTATACATATATATAAATGTTTTAGTATACTCTGACATGTACTTAATGTACATAGTTGTTGTAGTATACTTTGGTTTATGTGTACATGTATATAAATGTTTTAGTATACTCTGACATGTACTTAATGTACATAGTTGTTTTAGTATACTTTGGTTTATGTGTACATGTATATAAATGTTTTAGCATACTCTGACATATGTGTATATCGATGTAGTAGTTGTTATGTCAACACAAGTGTTGTGGTCTCCAGCTTTTTTGTTGACAGATTTCTGTGGTTGGCGTTCAGTGTTTAGCATGCAGTTGGTGTTTGGCAGTCAGCATCTGTAACAAATGGCCAGTGGTGACAATTTGCATGTAATGCCTTGTTTAAGTATACTTTGGTAAATGTATATTGATGGACATAGTTGTTATCCCACCGAACGAAGTTCGAGGGGGATATAGAAAAGCCGTTCGTCCATCCATTCGTCCGTCCGTTCGTGTGTCCGGGCAATAACTCAAATACCAGTCGACGGAATTCATTCAAATTTTATAGGCTTATGCCTTATATGTGAAGGACCTCTGCTCGAGAAGGAATTTTCAATATGGCCACTAAATTCAAAATGGCGGCCATTTTTCGGTAAAATTAAATCTTTCATAATTCAAATTCGTAAAAAAATAACTCAAATTCGTAAAAAAAACGTTATCTTTGATAACTGAAATACCATTGAATGGATTTGTTTCAAATTTTACATGCTGATGCCTAGGGACATAGGAGCTCTATACGAGAAGGGATTTTCAAGATGGCAGCTAAATTTCAAAATGGCCGACATTTTTCATAAAAGAACGTAACCTTTGATAACTGAAATACCAGTTGATCGATTTGGTTCAAATTCTATATGCTGATGCCTAGAGACAAAGAGGTTCTGCTCAAGAAGACATTTTCAAGATGAAAAGAAGAAATCTAAAGATGACAGTTGAATTTCAAAATGGCAACCATGTTTCATAAAAACACAATCTTTGATAATTCAAATACCAGTGAATGGATTTGGGTCAAATTTTATATGGGCCACATTTATCAAAACATGTTTTGTTCGGTGGGATTTGCTACTCCGTGGAGTTGCTGTTTTTCTAGTTTTAGTATTTTTTTGGAATGTATTTATTGATCTAAACAAATGTTTTTAACTATATGCTGGCATATTTGATGTACTTAATTATTTCAGTATACTTTGGAATATAAATACATGTATTGATAAACATATTTAATGCTTTTTGATGTACTTTGATAAAAGTAAACTGATGAACAGAATTGTTTTCGAATATATTTTGGCAGATGTAAATTAATATACATAATTATTTTTGTTTACCCTATCATATGAATATTGATAAATGTTTTTAGTATATCACCTTATCCAGACGCAGCAAGTGATAATTCATCAGATGGGTTCAACAGCGTGACCGACCCGGTCATTACTTAATCCTTAACAAGATGATCTTGAAAGTCAGGATATACATTCCTCTGAAGGTTCCAAACTGTGTGAGAACAGGACCGAAAACATACAATATAAAAAATTGGTAAAATTCGCCCTTTGTGTTTTTGATAGGTTCACTTTTTCAATCTGCCAAATTAAAACGGGAGCCAAATTAAAAAATTGTCATTTACATAAATATCTCCCACAATGCATCACATTAAGTAGGACAACCCTTTCAATATCCAACCCAGGTTATATACTGAGACACGTTAATGTATTCCATGATTATTGTCAGTTTTACAGACATTCCTGAAAAAGGTTGTATTCAAATTTGCACTACATTCCACTACATTGGTAACATAAATACTATTTTTGATTTGACACAAAATCCTATGCAAACCAGAGTTACTAATAATTTATTCTTTATTACATAATGGCACTAAATGCTATCTATATGAACATTATCAGTTAAAATAACAACAATCAGAGTTTTCATTAAATTCAACATCATTTATTGTAAAACATGTTATTCAGTTGATGTTCATATTTATTTTAAGCTTTTAAAAATCAAAGGTTTATCTTATTTATTAATATGCTACAGTAAAATTTGTAAAGTGGAACAACTCTATAAGTGGAACACCTCAATAAGTGGAGCACTTTTCAGACCAAATTGACTTAATATTAAATAATCCCCTTTCTAAATTTTCCAAGTTGAACACTAAAGGTACCAAAGGTGTTCCACTTACACAGGTTTTACTGTATTTGCAACACTGAAATAAGTAACCTCAACTAATTCTCTTCTAAGGGGTCACTAGCACCAAACAATTAACAACACAAACATTTAGGTACATCAATTGTACAATATAAAATTACTCCTACAGGGTAACTGCAAGTTGACATTATTCATGGGGAAGTAATGAACTAGAGTTTACTTATGCCTTGGTCACATTTACCCCGATCCATCGGCCTGCGCCCGCCCGATTGAGTGTTTTGTTCAATATTGTATACAATTTTAACCAAGTAGTCAATCGGCCGGGCGCGGTAGTGAAAACTGGAGCAAATGTGACCAAGGCATTATTTGGGACTTAATACTGAATACTATTACTCTCATAAGCCCAGAAACATATATGAAAAATAAATTGACTCCGCGTCCCTTAAGAAAAAATCTTTTCTACTTAAGACTTTGAGACTCGACCGATTGGACAAACATCGATCTTGCATTAACTATTCATGTTCCTGGGCCCATGGTTATTCTATACATGTTTAAATGTCTCATTACAACAATCACATTGAACACTGGGCGCCTTTTATCTAAGATTTGAGCTATTCCATCTTCTGTTTATCCTCATTCACATTGAACATTATACACTGTATCTAAGATTTGAGCTATTCCGTCTTCTGCTTATCCCCATCATCATTGTCTTCAGTTTCTTTATGTTTTGATCGTTTCTTAAGTGGATTTAGCTTGCATTGGTTGTAAAGTTCATTTAATCCTAGATCTCTGATCACATTTTCCTGCAAGTAAACAAGACACATGGTCAACAAGATATGGTTAGCAAGTCACAAGGATAAAAGGCATTAAACATGCAAAATATCACCACCTGTCATTTGTTACAGTCAACGACCGCTGGATGCCAACCACCAAATGCTGTCACAAAAATGTTGGGGATCTTAACAATATGACACATATCGGTGAATCAGTGATGCCATCAAGTTGTCACATCAGTGAAAAATGATCAAAAAAGGAATTTTAAAATTCTATGAAGAGGTGAGAAATTTTAAGTGTGTGAAATTTTGAAATGTAAGTGGGTACCAAAAGCAGAAAGATACACGAAATGAAGAAACATTTTGGCAAGGCTTTTCTTAGGTTTGACATTTAGACCTGCATTATCCCATTCCTTGCTATCACCTATGATACTAATTCACTCAACTGCCAACTTGACATTATGAAATTAATGAGGGTAATCAATGGATGAAAATTGATATTCTGCCTAGTTTGGGTGAATACAAAACCTACATTCAATAGATTGATAATGTATCTATCATGTATGACTTTATCTAAAATACATATGTGTTATCTTTCAATTGGCACTTGTCCTGGTATATGTACATGAATATTTGAATATGATATGAGCAAAGCTACTGAAGTTGTAGAGCTGCACAATAGATCAATAACAGATCAATAGTCCAGTCAGCCAGATGAAATTATGATTATCCTCCTATTGTTCGTATTTGGATTAATTGCACCAGAATCAGCAGGTTCAACAAAGAAAGGAGTATGTGTCAACCCTAGCAGTTATTTGTGTGATGATTTGACAGTTTTCAAAACAGTCACTTGGTGGTAAGTACAAACATACACAGTTAGCTATGTTTCAGTTATGAATACTATATCTAGTACTTGTTAGTGAGTAAGCAAACACCTTCAGTTTAAGAATTCCAAGATCAGACATGTATCTACATTGAATATACAGGGTAGGCCAAAAATACACCAATTTTTTTCAAAAATCCCCTTTATGATATGAGAACTGAGAACATGAAATATGCAATATGCAGGCACATAGCCAGCGGGGAGGCAAAATCATGCAATTTTCACCATTCTGAGCATTTTTCTCATTCTGGAATTTTTGAAAAAGTCACTCCCCTTTGGCAAAAGCTGGCTATGGGGCTGATATGTATCTTTGGAAAATCATGTTGATTCTTACACTGTAGTCCCCAAAGAATGCAGCACCCATTCTGCACCACCCAAAATGTCTCTAAACAGTACAGTATGCCAAAATGTTTCCCATATTCTATTGATCTGTTTCCTCAGTTTACCATGACAACTGTATCTCTATGTAGGTATGACTGGAGTCTGTCCCCAGCCTATGAGAAAAACACGAACTGTACCAACAAGCCTCGCCAGGAGTATATTCCTATGGCCTGGGGATGGTACCCCAACAGAAACATTACTGGAAAACTACCTACTGATTCAAGGTATTCGGTTTTATTTGAAATTAAGTATGAATTGAAAAGGGAATACGCTAGTTATTTATTTTCACAGGGTGGGATTTTGATGTAGTGCATCGTCCAGGTAGTAGAGAATTTCAAAATGGATATTCACGGGAATCGACATGTTGACGTTTTATCCAGTTATTGGTCTAGGTAGCTCCAAGGGTTGCTCCAAGGACAGCCCAATTTTTATCTTGTGAAAATCCTCACCATTTCCCAAATGGGAGTCTCATGCATACCTTTGTAATGTATGGTGCATAATAATTATTAGCCATATTGGACTATTGGTCTTTTTCAGAGTGGTTTCAGGGGCGGATCCAGGAACCAACAAGGGGGGGGCCCAAATTTCAGGTCAGAGAAAAAACGTCCGCGCTTGCGCGGAAAAAAATTTTGGGCCCCTAAAATCCAAAAGTGGGCCCAAATTTTGAAATTTTGAGGCCCATTTTCTTTAAAATTTGGCCTGAAATTAACAAATAAGGCCTTACAAGGCCCAGTAATGACCAAAAAGGCCCACTTTTTGGGGCCTGAAGGCCTTGTTTGGCCCAAAATTTTTTTTGGGCCCAATTTTTTTTTTCTTGGCCCACCCAAGGGGGGGGGGGGCCCGGGCCCCTGGGCCCCCCCCCCTAATCCGCCAGTGGGTTTTAGGATTCAACGAGCCCAATCACAAAGACCAATCAAATATGACACCTAATATGGCAGCCAAATACTGGCCACTCCTTGAGCATGAGAGTGGAAACAGAATACTGATTTCTCCCTCATCCTCCCCTTGTGGAGGGGGACCATCATGTATGTCAGATTCAATTGCATGGTTCGATGCGTTCTTTGCCGCATGTAAGAACTGTCGCGTAGATTACATCGCAACTCATCATTACTCATGCGATCCGGCACAAACCGCTGAATATCTTCATTCAATATACTCACGCTACAAGAAACAAATATGGCTGACGGAATTTGGATGCCCCTATACCCAGAATGCAACTGTTGTTATGGAATACATGAAAGGAGTGTTGCCATGGTTAGAACAGGCTGATTATATCTACAGGTACTCCTGGTTCATAACACGTATGGATGACACTCCATTTATTCATAAGGACAACCAACTGCTAATTGATGGCAAATCTGAACTAAATGAACTGGGGAAATTCTATGACAATTTCAAAAATGAATAGATAATCTATTTTACGTGTATTTCTAACATATGCAAGCATTAGTGCCAAAAGTAAAGAAAAAATAGTATCGTATTGTATTTTGGTTACCGTCATACTTGGCAAGTAATACCTCATATCATTGGTATATTCCGTATTACTACGTATTTTACACTTGAAGACAAAGCCAGAAACCCCTCCTTAGAGGAGCCCTGTGTTCTTTTGTGTGCACCAATACACAGACATACAAATACACACCACAGCCCTTTGTATGAGTTGTGGACCATTCACAGTCAAACACATAATACACAAACAAACTTGTCTGAACCATGAACCAACAATTGTCGCTAATGTTTATATCTATTAACCTTGGCAATACTTTCTGTTGTATATGATGTTTGAATGATCGTTTGAAATAAACTTGAAAAAAGTACACAGGTATTCCCTTCAACAGAACAAAATATTTGTAAGGTGTATAATATCTAAATGGTAAACAATTATTTTCAAACTTTGCATTGTTCCTTTCTTTTGCCAAAACATAGTTCCCAAGGTGTCAAAATTACGTGTCTAGCTACAAGCCCTTGTGACCCATCTACAACTACTCAACTGTACACATTCTCACACAAGTTGATAAAAATAGGGGGTCCAGGGTCTCGAAGCAAGACTAAAACAAGGCATTAACATGACAAAATGTCACCACCTAAAACAATTTGGTCAATTTAAAGCAAGTTGGAAAATACCTTTTGACCTTAAGAATGTTTTTGAAGATTTGAGCTTCTGGGATCTTGTAGATGATTTTGAAAAAAGAAATTGTTCAATCTGAAGCAAGTTAAAACTAGTTGCACACAAATCTTAAGTCAGATTTGAACTTCTTAGAACATGTAGATGATTTTGAAAAAAAAATTCGTCAATTTGAAGCAAGTTGAAAAAATACCTCTTTGACTTTTTTTGACATTGAAAAGGTCATTGAAGGTCAAATGTCAAATGTTAAGTCAGATTCGAACTTCTGAGAACATGTAGATGATTTTGAAAAAAAATTAAGTAAATTTGAAGCAAGTTGAAAAAAGACCTTTTTGACCTTGAAAAGGTCATTGAAGGTCAAATGTCAAATCTAAAGTCAGATTTGAACTTCTGAGAACATGTAGATGATTTTGAAAAAAAATTAGTCAATTTGAAGCAAGTTGAAAAAAGACCTTTTTGACCTTGAGAAGGTCATTGAAGGTCAAAGGTCAAATCTAAAGTCAGATTTGAATTTCTGAGAAAATGTAGATGATTTTGAAAAAAAAAATTAGTCAATTTGAAGCAAGTTGAAAAAAGACCTTTTTGACCTTTTTTGACCTTCAGAAGGTCATTGAAGGTCAAATGTCAAATCTAAAGTCAAATCTAAAGTCATATTTGAATTTCTGAGAACATGTAGATGATTTTGAAAAAAAAATTTAGTCAATTTGAAGCAAGTTGAAAACAGACCTTTTTGACCTTTTTTGACCTTGAGAAGGTCATTAAAGGTCAAATGTCAAATCGAAAAGGCAGATTTGAATTTCTGAGAACATGTAGATGATTTTGAAAAAAAAATTAGTCAATTTGAAGCAAGTTGAAAAAAAGACCTTTTTGACCTTTTTTGACCTTGAGAAGGTCATTGAAGGTCAAATGTCAAATCCAAAGTCAAATCTAAAGTCATATTTGAATTTCTGAGAACATGTAGATGATTTTGAAAAAAAATTTAGTCAATTTGAAGCAAGATGAAAAAATACCTTTTTGACCTTTTTTGACATTGAGAAGGTCATTGAAGGTCAAATGTCAAATCTAAAGTCAGATTTGAATTTCTGAGAACATGTAGATGATTTTGAAAAAAAAATTTAGTCAATTTGAAGCAAGTTGAAAAAAGACCTTTTTGACCTTTTTTGACTTTGAGAAGGTCATTGAAGGTCAAATGTCAAATCTTAAGTCAAATCTAAAGTCAGATTTGAATTTCTGAGAACATGTAGATGATTTTGAAAAAAAATTTTAGTCAATTTGAAGCAAGTTGAAAACAGACCTTTTTGACCTTTTTTGACCTTGAGAAGGTCATTGAAGGTCAAATGTCAAATCTTAAGTCAGATTTGAATTTCTGAGAACACGTAGATGATTTTGAAAAAAAAATTTAGTCAATTTGAAGCAAGTTGAAAACAGACCTTTTTGACCTTTTTTGACCTTGAGAAGGTCATTGAAGGTCAAATGTCAAATCTAAAGTCAGATTTGAAGGTCAAATGTCAAATCTAAAGTCAAATCTAAAGTCAGATTTGAATTTCTGAGAACATGTAGATGATTTTGAAAAAAAAATTAGTCAATGTGAAGCAAGTTGAAAAAAGACCTTTTTGACCTTGAGAAGGTCATTGAAGGTCAAATGTCAAATCTAAAGTCAGATTTGAACTTCTGAGAACATGTAGATGATTTAGAAAAAAATTGAAGTCAGTCTAAACAGTATTTGTTAAGTTATAGGAAGTTGTAAGAAATTGTTACAGACGCCGGACGCCAACCGCCGGACGCCGGACGCCAACCTCCAACCGCCGGACGCCGTCGCAAAAAAACGGAGACCATAACAATATGTCACCACTTTTGGTGGTGACTAAAAAAAATTTTAGTCAATTTGAAGCAAGTTGAAAACAGACCTTTTTGACCTTTTTTGACCTTGAGAAGGTCATTGAAGGTCAAATGTCAAATCTTAAGTCAGATTTGAATTTCTGAGAACACGTAGATGATTTTGAAAAAAAAAATTTAGTCAATTTGAAGCAAGTTGAAAACAGACCTTTTTGACCTTTTTTGACCTTGAGAAGGTCATTGAAGGTCAAATGTCAAATCTAAAGTCAGATTTGAAGGTCAAATGTCAAATCTAAAGTCAAATCTAAAGTCAGATTTGAATTTCTGAGAACATGTAGATGATTTTGAAAAAAAAATTAGTCAATGTGAAGCAAGTTGAAAAAAGACCTTTTTGACCTTGAGAAGGTCATTGAAGGTCAAATGTCAAATCTAAAGTCAGATTTGAACTTCTGAGAACATGTAGATGATTTAGAAAAAAATTGAAGTCAGTCTAAACAGTATTTGTTAAGTTATAGGAAGTTGTAAGAAATTGTTACAGACGCCGGACGCCAACCGCCGGACGCCAACCTCCAACCGCCGGACGCCGTCGCAAAAAAACGGAGACCATAACAATATGTCACCACTTTTAGTGGTGACATAATAATAACAAGGCATTAACATCCAAAATGTCACCACCTGCCATTTGCTAAAGATGCTGAACACCATCCACAAAAAATGTTGGAGACTATGACAATATGTCATCACTTCTGATGGTGACATAAAAATAACAAGGCATTCAGTAAAATGTCAATACCTGCCACTTGTTACAGACACAGACCGCCGAACACCAACCACCATCCACAAAAAGTTGAAGACTATAACAATATAAATTGAGATTACAGCCATTCTGCAGATTTAAAGAATTCATTCTTACCTCGGTGAAGAGAAATCTGTAGACTTTCTTTTTTACAGGATCTATTAGTGGAACTCTGTCCTTCTCCTTGCCTCCCTGATAGACAACACATGAAGGTAGCTGTTTAGACCAGGGGGCAGTGTTTACCCCATACCTGAAATACATAAGGGTAGCTGTTAGGACCAGGGTGCAACATTTTCCCCATACCTGAAATATATAAGCCAAAGTAGACCAGGGGGCAACATTTTCCCCATACCTGAAATATATAAGCCAAAGAGTAGCTGTTCAGACCAGGGTGCAACATTTACCCCATACCTGAAATATATAAGCCACGGGGTAGCTGTTTGGACCAGGGTGCAACATTTACCCCATACCTGAAATATATAAGCCACGGGGTAGCTGTTTGGACCAGAGTGCAACATTTACCCCATACCTGAAATATATAAGCCAAAGGGTAGCTGTTTAGACCAGGGGGCATTTACCCCATAATACTAGTACTGGACTCAAAAGATGCATTGATTTCAGTTGAAATTGACGGCAACAATGGACAGAGTGGGTGATTGCAATAATTCTCCAAGATGTTACAATTCCAAAAGAATGTTACCTTTTAGCAACTGCTTCATATCTGCTGGCATCTATCTTGCCAAACCTGAGATTATCTAAACTGTACCTGAAACAAAAAACAATTTTCATTATATTGGCCTTAAAATGATCAAAAAAAAATAAAGAAATCAATTTCTGGTCTTTTCTATGTTCCTCTATATTTGCCTATTATGGTATCACAGTAAGCCAAATGGTTTAAACATGAAATGGGATTTTGGAAGCTTACCCTAATTTTAGCCCATGCAAAATCCGAATCATTACACGTTATCTATAGTTTATACTAAAGTAGACAGTTATCAGCTGATTGAGAAAATGGAGAGACCCAAAGGAACAATTCAAAGACAAAACTGAACAATCACATTTTTTCAAATTTTCTCTTAATTCATTGTGATATCATCCTGAAACAATATTTACCAGCAATGCATTGCATGGTCATCTGTTCAAATTATTGTCCCCTTGACCGAATCAAAATCAAATCTTTAACTGTGGAAACTAACAATATGGTTAGTTACTTCAGCATATAAAGGCTCAAGATTAAGAAACACAGTGATAAATACCCCACTTTGGAGATCAAAAATGTCCCCATGTAACTAACCATTTTACAGTATGCCCAGAACCTAATCAGATATTGGCACTGGTAATCAGATATTGGCACTTGTAATCAGATATTGGCACTAGTAATCAGATATTGGCACTAGTCATGCACTAGTTCATGCATTTGTGTAAATTTTGAGTTGAACGGATATGCTGTTTTCCTGGAACTTTGATGGTAAGGAATTTTGATGATAAGATTAATGTGGATCCCACTGACCCCCACAATCGCACTCACTCACTCACGCAAGCACGCACACACACACACACACAAATGCCTATCAGCACATAATGACAACAATATAGCACTTTTTAAAAATGTAATAAAAATTACAATGGATGAAGAATGTATCTATAATGGACTTACTTTTCTGAGATTTTAGAGAATATTTCTGAGAAGTTGACGCAAGGAGGCGACCATGCAGCGTACCATTCTATAACCCATGTTACTCTTTTGTCACTGTTAAGCTCATCCTAAAAATAAAACATCTACATGTACTAGTACTTTAAAGGTGCAGCAATTAGTGCAGGGGGAATTATATTTAGGTTTGGATATTTCATGAAGACTAACATATATTTTCATTATCTTCAAAGAAACCCCCTGGATCAACATTATTTCAGCTGATATTCCTCTTGAAACATGGTGGATCTTAAAAATCTATAAGTGGGACTTCCTTTATAGAAGCTTTGGACTGAATTTACACTTCTTAATGCTGAAATTGATAGTTTATACATACATTTTAAGAAAATATGTATGTCAAAGAAGGTGTTCAGCCAAATATTGACCTGATAGCTCAGAAAAAATAAAAAATTCGAATTTTCTCTATATAGTCCTTGTTGCCCCTTTAATGTTCATCATGCATGTACCTTTAAGCAATGTGCTCCTTTAGTTCAATAGCCTGACAAGACCCTACCTCAAAGTAATGAGCACATTTAGTTCAATACTCTTAAGTAATATGCATATATAGTTATGCCCAAAAGTAATGAGTACATTTAGTTCGATGAATGTGAGTACCTAGTTCAATGAAATAGCGTATCTCTAAGTAATGAGCACATTCAATTCAATGAAATAGCCTAAATCATAGCCTACCTCTAAATGTGGACCTCTGAAGTAGGTGACTTTCTCTGGGCCTGAATAGACAGGTTCTGGCAGGAAGACTAAGTGCACTGAAACACAAATTAAAGGATTGGTTCCTGACACTTTCGAGATGCGACAGAAGTTTCACTTGAATTTCTAACAGGCTAGATAAATGAAAACAACAGGCAAAATTAATGGAAATCATAAATTTAACATGGAAAAATTGAAAAGTCCCTAAAAACAATGGGCGATTTTGTGAAAACAACCAGTGAAAATCTCCTGTTGCCTGATGCTAATGAAACCCCTGTGGGATGACAAGAAAGGTTGATGTTATCAACAAGATGATTGGCTTTAATTCATTAAAGCTTTGAAACTCCAAAAAGATTGTTAACTAATGCTGCCAGTTCACTATATGATTGTTTTGAAACACATTATTAGAAAATAAGACAGAAGACTTACAATAGAAATGCTGAAGTCTGTAATAAAAAGGCGGTGGTTTATTTTTGATTTCGCGGTCACAACATGGAATCAAAAAGTTACTCAACAGGCTTTTAATCATGAGATAGTGACATTGATGAGTGTGTCAGAACTAGTCAGAACTGACAAAACAAAATCAAATAATTGCGATCAAAATTGAACAATGCAGCCCTGACAGAATTCTTTTTACAATCTTCTTTTGACTGGCATGGTACAATTTGGTAATACTATTACTAAAATGTTCATCTCTCAATGAAATGCTTGGTCTGCAGATATTACTAGATTGGTCCATGCTAATAAAAAGAAGATGGAAAAATGCTGGGAGCCAGTCCTCCTTCTGACCACAGCAACAAAGCTGACCTTCATAGACTCTTTCTAGGGATTAATTATACATTGAGAACTTACGCTCTGATTGGGAAATAGTAAACTAAGTATCTTTCAATTCATTTTCATTACATCTTTCTAACAAATGAATAGAATGGTGTACTCACATATACAAAGCAACATGTAACCAAATGCCATTGGTGGGTGGTTTGTGAAGAATAGATAAATCGATGTAGCTTTGAAGAACATACACAGAGAAGACAGGTACTGTTTTGGTGTAGCTGAAACAAGAATATACAGTGTTCATAGATCATCATAGGTCAGGCCCGTAAGACACTTTTCTCCAAGGGGGGTGCGGTTTTTAGCTTACTAAAGAGAATAAAAAAATTGTCATTTTTTTGCCGCGTAAATCAAATCGCGTAAGACAGAGGGGGGGGGGGGGGGGGGGTCAGTTACTCCCTATATTGGTTTGGAATTAACAAATGCATGGCAACTTCCAATTGTTTTGTGGGGGGTGTGAGGAGTGGTCCACTCCCCCTAGAAAATTTTACAGTTTTGAGATGCTATTTGGTGCTTTCTGGGCACTTACAAAGTGTAAGTTTCTAAGTAGTACGCCACCACCACAAGAATAAGAGTTGAGTGAATAAAAAACCGAGCATTCAGGGAGGTCTGGGGGTTCTCCCCCAGGAAAATTTTGAAATTTGGTTGTATTTGGAGCGAATTTGCAACCATCTGGTACGCCTGTGCGTAAATCAATAAGAAAAATGTGAAATTTTTCAAATTCTTTTGGGGGTGTCAAAGAGGATGAGAGGGTGAAGTGGGGTGGGGTGCCAGTAGGGGAGCAATGGGTTGTCCCCCAGAAACATTGACCATATCAAGGTGCTATTTGATGATGTCTGGGCACTTAAAAAATGTCTGAGACAATACATGAAATTCAGAATATTTTCTTTTGTTTTGTGGGGGATGTGAGGGGTAGCTAACTCTCCTAGAAAATTTTACAATTTAAAGATGATATTTGGTGCTTCTGGGCACTTTTAAAGTGTATTAGTCAATAAAAACATTGAAAAACAATCACAATTTTTTTCAAATTTGGGGGGTGTCAAAGGGGGGGGGGGAGGGGTGCCAGAGGGGGAGGTGGCGCTCGGGTGCCAGAGGGGGAGCGAGTGTTTGTCCCCCATATCAAAATTTACAATATCAAGGTGGTATTCGATGAAGTTTGGGCACTTTAAAAGTGTCTGGACCTAGAAGTGCCTATTTCCCAAGAAAATTTTACAATTTTAAGATGCTATTTGGTGCTTTCTGGGCACTTTCAGAGGGTATGAGTCAATAAAAAAAATCTCAATTTTTTTTTGGGGGGGGGGGGTGTTAAGGGAGGGGGGCTGCCAGAGGGGGAGGTGGAGTGGGGATGCCAGAGGGCGAGTAAGTGTTAGTCTTCCAGAATCATTAACTTTATCAAGGAGCTATTTGATGATGTCTGGGCAATTTAAAAGTGTCTGAGACAATACATAAGACAAATTCAGAACTTTTCCATTGTTTTGTTTGGGGTGTGAGGGGTGGCCCACTCCCCCTAGAAAATTTTACAATTTTACGACGCTATTTGGTGCTTTCTGGGCACTTTCAAAGTGTATGAGTCAATTAAAGAATTTGAGAAAATCACAATTTTTTTGGGGGGGGTCAAGGAGGGGGGGGGGGGGGGGTTATGCAAATGCAAGATGCAAGAGGGGGAGTAAGTCCCCCAGAAACACTAACTATTTCAAGCAGCTATTTGATGATATCTGGGCATTTTAAAAGTGTCTGAGACAAAACTCTAAAATAAATTTAGAACTTTTCCATTGTTTTGTGGGGGGTGTGACAGGTGGTTAATATCCCTAGAAAATTTTACAATTTTACGACGCTATTTGGTGCTTTCTGGGCACTTTCAAAGTGTATGAGTCAATTAAAGAATTTGAGAAAATCACAATTTTTTTTGGGGGGGGGTCAAGGGGGGGGGGGTGCCAGAGGGGGGGGGGGGGTTATGCAAGTGCAAGATGCAAGAGGGGGAGTAAGTCCCCCAGAAACACTAACTATTTCAAGGAGCTATTTGATGATATCTGGGCACTTTAAAAGTGTCTGAGACAAAACTCTAAAATAAATTTAGAACTTTTCTATTGTTTTGTGGGGGGGTGTGACGGGTGGTTAATACCCCTAGAAAATTTTATAATTTTAAGATGCTATTTGGTGCTTTCTGGGTACTTTCAAAGTGTATGAGTCAATGAAAAAAAAATTACAAAAAAATATTTTCAAAAAAAAAAAATTTTCAAATTTTTTTTTCAAATTTTTTTTGGGGGGTGACAAAGGGGGGTGCGGTCGCACCCATCGCACCCCCCCATCTGACGGCCCTGTAGGTTCAAGGGTGTTTCAATTTTTTCCATAGCTGCGATAGAAATGAAGCCCGATTTTTAAGGATGATAGAGGTTAGCCGTTTAGTGTTTACTTCTTAAAGACCTTTAAAGGACTTACAATCAAACAAAAATATCAAAATCTACATTCCCTTAGTTAATTTTGAATTGAAGAAACAATGCTTAAAGGCCCCATGTAAAGTTTAAACCACTTTGGCTTATATTGTAGTCTTACCCAATGTTATCAAAGTGTGATATGTGAAACTTTTTTTTTTAATTTCAAAAAGTGGTTTTTGAAGGACTTTTTGTTCCAAAATTTGTGAATTTATTTAAAACCAACTTTTAGAGGTCACTCATATCTTCTAACTAGCCACAATTCATACCAATGCATAGCATTCATCCTCCCATGTTTTTTGCCCAAAAAATTAAGAAAATCGGTTGATAAACAAGCGAAAAATGAATTTATCAGTGCATGAAAATGGTTCTGAGAAAAATGCATTTCAAAATTTTAGTTCTCATAGAAACCAATGGTACTATGATATCTAAAACATAATTTATTCTTCTTTTTAACCTGGTTAGACAATCAACATTGTTTTTTTATGAAAGTCTAGCATATTTAGAAAAGATTGACATCGAAAAAAAAATTTCAATTTTTTTCAAAGAGTTTTGGTTACCTTAGGGGCGAGGTCAAAATATCAATGTTCATATGGAGACGAAAGTAATTTCGTTTGGACAACAACCCCCCCCACCCCCCCTCTAGACGAAAGCTTAGGTCACTTCAAAAAAACATTGATTTTCAGTGACTGTCAAATGATTTGGAACCCGTGAGTCAAATGAGAGGCATAATCGTATCCTATTTGCCGGGTTATTATTACGGTGAATTAACACACGTTCGCAATTTAACTGCATTGAACTCTTCAAAAGGAGGAGGGAAAAGTACGGAATTTATTTGAAAAATGATCGAATTATCGTCTTTATCTACCGATATTTTGGACCTATCACACAAATAAGCTCACAAACTATTGAAAACAAGCCTTTTTATCAGAACATAGCGCCAGAAAAAGTGGGTAAGTCCAACCAGAACAACGGCAACGCCAAAGCGTAGCGAATCCCATCGAACAGAAATGGCTGGCATTTTTACAACCGAATAGCAAATATCATAAAACAACACACCAGAAAGGCCACCATTTTCAAAATGGTTGCTCACTAGCCAAGTTGTCATCAGAAGAAATAATATGCTTTTAAGTAGCCACCTCTAAAATTTTTGAAAAATCGCACACGTACTTGTAAAATAACACACATAAAAATGGTGGCCATTTTTCAAAATGGCTGACTACTCCCCAAGGTTTTATTAGACAATGTGCCATGCTTAAAGTATTCACATATCAAATATGAACAAAATCGCTCTACTACTTTTCGAGTTATAGTTAAATATGTTAAAATGGCGGCCATTTTTCAAAATGGCCACCTTCTACCAAAAGTGTCATTAAAAATAGACAGTGTGCCATGCTTATAGTATTCATATACCAAATATGAACGAAATCGCTCCACTACTTTTCGAGTTATAGTAAAATACGTTAAAATGGCGGCCATTTTTCAAATCTTTTTTCAAAATGGCCACCTTCTACCAAAAGTGTCATAGGACAGTGTGCCATGCTTATAGTATTCACATACCAAATATGAACAAAATCGCTCCACTACTTTTTGAGTTATAGTAAAATATGTTAAAATGGCTGCATTTTTCAAATCTTTTTTCAAAATGGCCGCCTTCTACCCAAAGTGTCATAGGACAGTGTGCCATGCTTATAGTATTCACATACCAAATATGAACAAAATCGCTCCACTACTTTTTGAGTTATAGTAAAATATGTTAAAATGGCTGCATTTTTCAATTTTTTTTTCAAAATGGCCGCCTTTTACCCAAAGTGTCATAGGACAGTGTGCCATGCTTATAGTATTCACATACCAAATATGAACTAAATCGCTCCACTATTTTTTGAGTTACAGCAAAAATCGTAAAATGACGAGTAAAGGCCACCATTTTTCAAGATGGCTGCCATGTGCTTCTTTAATATCTACATTTGTAGCATTATTAATGTCCTTTTTACATTTAAAACATATTGCTATTACAGTTTTACATATAACACCTAAATTACTGTAAAATCGGCACTAAAATGGCCGCCATTTTGAAATGAGCGGCCATTTTGAAAATCGGCTTTCGAGCAGAACTTCTACCCATAGGGTATATGTGTACAAAATATGAACAAAATCGGGCCAACGGTATTTGAGTTATTGCCCGGACGGACGGACGGACGTACGTACGGACGGACGGAGGCATTCCCTATATCCCTCCGAACTTTGTTCGATGGGATAATTATTTTTTGTATATCAGATCCGAATTATCGATGTTTTTTTGGTCAACGAAAGTGCCCAAAAACCCCCTCCCCCCTCGCGAAAGTACTTTCGTCTCCATATGAACATCGATATTTTGACCCCGCCCCTTAGTGACATCACTAATGTTTCAAAATATTTTTGATATGCTAAAACATTGAAGTGGCCCATTAAATATGGCATTTTATTATTGAAATAGTGTGTCCTTTGTTCAATCTTTGCATTGGTGTTAAAAAGATAATCTTTTTTGAAATGCATTAAGAAATATTTGATGATTAAGAAATTTCAACTTTTTTTGAAAAATGGCAGGAAATTTGAATATTTGAGAAATGAAATGCTCACAATTTAAAAAAAAACAAACTTTAAACTAAGATCTGTCTTACATATGATTACGAGTTGGTGGTCAAAAATTCGGGATCATTTATCACACAAATGTAAATAAATGAAACTTGAATATACTCACACATCTTTCTGTTCTTTAGCACCACGACACAACCCAGGAATGTGACCACTTGCCACTCATTCTGCAAAAACACCATACTGAATATGTTAATGTTACTTCTCGGTAATTTTTAAGATAATGCCTAGCAGCCTCTGAACACATTTTCTGACTTCAACTGCATAGGCATCCATAGGGGGTGCACTTTTTAGCCAATCCCTGGGGATTTCATAAATGGAGCTGAGCAGGAGATTAAGAGAAAGAACTTTGAGTGCAAGCTATGGTTGGAGACTGTTTTTTGTTTTTTTAAATGTAAATGTAGACACATACATGTACATGTACCTCTAGGAAAAATCCCAGGGACGCCCCTACACTTATCAACATGCAGGTGTTAAGAGAGCATACATGAAATTTTTATATATCGCACCATGATACTTTGACTGCTTTTATAGGTTTAGATTGATTGACTCGTGAAAAGATGATTTGGACGTTACATCGATCTCAATCCATACATACATATCATTATCTGGGGGAGTTATTCTCTTGCTAAATCTATTGTGTTGGAGATCTTGTAGACTTTGCCAGATGAGGTTATAGATCCCGGCCAGATTCTTTTGTAGTAGGATCAGTAGCTCAATAAATATTCATCCTGAATTATTCTTACTGCAAAACAATCTGGCCAACATCTATGGATGAGGTATAGATCCTGGGAACTTACCTTCTTCTTAGGCCACTGTATCGCGGCCTTCCTCCAAAGATAAATTCCTGCATGAACAACTGGTCATGTCATAATAATAAAATTTGAAATCATATGTCCGCCATTTTTCCACATCACAATTTGAATTGAGAGTTTTGGTCTTATTATCTCACCAAAAATTCCAAAACACACATGAAGTGATCAGTGTACTAGTTCACATTTTCTGGATCGCTAACTTAGAATTTACAGCCAGTTACTAATGTCAGACATTAACGACATTTTGTCCAGTTTTCCAATATCGTCATTTTTCTTGGAGCCATTTTGTTTTAATTTTAGACAAAATCCTGATGAAATCCTGTCATATCTCATCAAGGAGCCGAGCCGGTTCCGTTTTAATTAATTAATGATTAATTATCTGGTAATTGGCATTGGCTAGAGACTTGAGTAACTGGGAACAGTTCTGTATGAAAAGAGATCATAGAACTCGACTCCATTTTTTATACATGTTCTCGGGGCCTATGAAAGGGTTTATAAGGTCAGAACTCACCTTGTAACTATCGCTAGAAAGAAAAGTTGGTATATAAAGGGGGGAGGGGGGGGAGTCGGAGTTAGAGTTTGGACCAATCTTAGCCTAGATCTAAGAATAAAAATAGCCATGAAAAGCTCAGGCCACCAATTTTGAAAACCAAATACTTACGTATTCTAATTCACAAGATGTAAATAACCAGCTACAGATCCATGGAGTAGATTTCAAACATACAAACAGAACACTTAATATGATGTTTACGACGAAATGGGGATGTAAAAAAGGTTTTATTTGATCTACAAATTTCGGGAGTCCCAGTGCCATTTTGAACCGGAAGTGGATGTCTTGGTGATGAAAAACGTCATATCTAAGTTTATTCATAAATAGACTTGAATACTATTTCAAAAGAACTTTTCATGAGTCTAATAAAGGTTTTTATTATTAAAAATTATTTGATAAATATTTTTGAATATATATTGTTTCAAAGTCATTGATATTTTGATTATTAAAATAAGTGGTACGATTGCACTCATTGACCCCAAAAAATCCATGTGGAAAATATTCGCAAACTTGCACAATTTAATAGAATACGCTTCATTGTGAGTATAAGTTACCTTAAATAATATTGAGATATCTTTAGAATTGTATACGTTTCGTTATGAAGTTTAAATATTTGCTCTAACATGGATACAACTTACCTAAATATCAAGCCTTTTATTTTATTTTCATAAATCAAAAATTATTCTCAGTTTGGAAATTGATGATTGATGGGAGCCACTCTGCCATACTAAAGTATGTTTAGTATACCTACTGCCTAATGAGTATTTTCCTGTAAAGTCAGCCCAACATCAGTTCACTCACTAATCAAATTATAGCCCTTTTTTCTGACCATTTTTAATTTCCGTAAGTTGCTGGCCCCAGATCGAGTTGACAGCCATATTGTACCACCCAATTATTGATACAGCCATTATCACATAGTGGAGTCAGAGTTTATGCTTACATTGAGATTCATAATTCCGAAAACAAATCTGGCAACAGTATATGAAAAAATAGAAACATGTACAAGGCTTACTTTTGTATATTTCAGATACCATCTCCCGTTTGCATGCAATTTAGTTTTGCGCTTTTCCCGACTGTGGTAAAATCGCGAAAAATTATCGTCACGACATTGGCAGGAGATTTGATCTGTTTGTTATAACCTCTGGTGCATTTCATTTTGTGCAAAACTTTTGTCTCGTGTTATTGGTCAATAAATATGATACTAGCATGGGCTTTCAAGACAACATTGGCTTGTTCGATCAAGTAAACCAAAACTGGGATGTAATTACTATTCATAAGGTAACTTGGGTTACAGAGCTTGAGGATTCAGACAATATTGAAATTTAAACCTGTGAATATAGCTGCAATAGCTGCAAATAAGTAATTCGCAAAATTAAACCTCGCAAAATTAACCGAGAGTATAATAGTTTATAGGTATAATAGGCAGCAAAGATGTGGCTCTCTGAATTTTCTCTTTTGCATATTTCTAGGATATTGATTTATTGTTAACAATTCTTATATGATTTCAGGTGAATGGAAAATTTCTACTCAATATTAGAGTGTAAGCAAGAAGACCCCTTAGAAGTGTTAAAAACAAACTACCAGCAACTTGTTCTGAAGTATCACCCTGATAAATATTCATCAGACCTCACTGACTCTGAGAGAAATGAGAAACTGAATATTTATATCGCAATAGACAAAGCTTGGAAAGTGTTAAGTGATCCAGAGAAAAGAAGTGAATTTGACGCTAAATGGACTGAACGAAATTTGGCCCAAGAGTTTCCTATTCATGACACTTTGACACTCGACGATTTTGAAGAACAAGAGGATTTTCTTGTTTATCCCTGTCGCTGTGGTGGAGATTACATTCTCACTGAAACTGACATTGAATTTCAAGTTGATGTTGTATGTTGCGAGTCCTGTACATTAGCAGTAAAAGTTCTATACACAAATAAAGACTAGGCAGTTTGATTAAACAATATGGATACTGAAGACGCAAAAACATTGCCAAAGACTGATGAGGAGTTTGTCCCCGCAAAGTCCAAGAAATCACGTAAAAGGAAACTGCCCAAAAATGATGTTACTATGGAGACCGAAGTTGCTTCTTCTACATCATCAGAAACTGTTGCTAAGGAAGCTTCAGTGGCCATCACTATGGAAACAGATGAAGTTCCTGCGAAGCGTCCCAATTTTCCTGCTATCAGCGGTGACAAATTAATGGGTGGTGGGAAAGCTGAAACACGGAAGGTTCCCGTTCCTAAAAATCGCTACACACCTTTGAAGGACAATTGGATGAAAATCTTCACACCAGTGGTTGAACATTTGAAGCTTCAGATTCGATTCAACTTGAAATCACGAAATGTTGAAATCAAAATGTGTAAAGACACTAAAGAGGTCAGTGCTTTACAGAAAGCGGCTGATTTCGTCCAGGCCTTTTGCTTGGGATTTGAAGTTGATGATGCTCTGGCATTGGTCCGTCTTGATGACCTTTACCTGGAGTCGTTTCAGGTTACTGACGTCAAGCCTCTCAAAGGAGACCATCTTGCTCGAGCCATTGGTAGGATCGCAGGAAAAAGTGGCAAAACCAGATTCACTATTGAGAATGTAACAAAGACTCGTATCATATTAGCCGATCAGAAAGTTCACATTTTGGGGTCATTTCAGAATATCAAGATCGCACGTACGGCAATTTGTAATTTAATTTTGGGTAGTCCTCCATCTAAGGTTTATGGTACAATGAGAGCTATTGCATCTAGGTCAGCAGAGAGATTTTGAGAAACTGTAACCAGACTTTAAGTTTATTTAGAATGCATTAATATTGCATTGTTTCTTCCATTCATTACTCCAATTCAGACCACTGTCTTCCTCCATGATTTTTATGTCACTAGAAGTGTTGACATATTGTTAGTCTCCAACTTTTTGTGGACAGTGTTCGGCGTCTGTAACAAAAGGTGTCTTTAACGGCAGGTGGTGACATTTTGGATGTTAATTGCCTTGTTCTGTTGAAGCTTTATTCTTATGAAATTCCCAATCAACTAACCATATCCCTAATCTCAGCTACTAGGCCTATACTGTACTAGGCCTATACTGTAGCTTCAGAGGAGCACATTAATATACTCTGTATACCAAACTGTGTCAGTAAATAATAGATTATAATGGGTATCATGATAAAAAGTATATTTTGTGAAAATAAATATAAATGAAATAAATACTAACTATTTAAATGTTTTTATTAACTTCAGTATAAATTCAATTTACCAGCCAGTGATCTCCCCAGCATTAAAGCAAGTGGGCACAGCACCTGTCCTACCTGAGATTTTAAAGATAGGCTTGCACTCACCTGAAAATCCATTTGCACCCACTTGAAAATGAGAAAAATTGGAAGAGTTTATTTCCCATTTCAGACTGGATCAACATTGTGCAGTTGTGCTTAATAATAGTCGCTGAGTAAAATTATTTGTAGCAGATCATATGTGAACCTAAAGTACCATTTATGCAATTGACAGAAATAATTATGCTGTAAAACCTATCACAGTCACATTTGCTCCAATTTTCAATCAAGTCCCTGGCTGATTGAGTATTTTGTTCCATTACTCATACAATTTTTAACAAAATACTAAATCAGGCAGCGCCAGATTGAAAATCAGAGCAAATGTGACTCAGGCATAAGCTGAACACCACGAGGACTAGCAAAAAATTTGGATTGACAGGGTTCACATTTCAAGGCTTTTTAACATAATCTATAATGGCAGATTAGAAAAATGGGACTGAAAAAAGCATTCATACTGTAACTGTATTGGGAGTGGTTCTGATTAGAGGGATGTTTGGATATTCAGGATTTACTTTATAATGTTCTGGGGATTCAGTTTTCAGAGTTGGTCCACCTAAATGTGAACTGATTTACATTCAAGGCTATTTTTCATTCCTGAACCATTCTTACTATGTTTTCCTCATAACAAATATAAGGTTGTATTTTTGATTTTAGATTTTATTCATTACTTCATAAAGTAACAATTCAATAAATATTAATATACACAACATTTCCTCTCAAAGAAAGGTCCTTATTATATTGTAGAGAGTTATATGAAACCAAGACATTATTTAGCTGGATTTATATGTTGAACTAAAATTTCAAATACTGAAATGCAGGCCCGTAGCCAGAATTTGGCAAGGGGGGTTCACTTTTTGAAAAATTCCAGAGGGGGTTCACTTGTGACAATTTAGATCCAAAAATGGCCAAAATCACTTAAAAAGTGCTCAGAATGGTGAAAAACTGCATGATTTTGAAAGATTTTTGGCCAAGGGGGGGGGGGGGGGTTCACTTGAACCCATCGAACCCCTGGCTATGGGCCTGCTGAAATGCATCATTATATTTCAGTTCTTGAGTATTTTCCAAAACATTTAGACTAGAGTCTTTTCTTGATCAACTTTTCTAGTTTTTTGATTCTGCTTGATTCCTGGTCAGGCTGAGCTCCCGCTCTCTGTTGAGGGGGTCTCTGATTCATAGTAGGACCTCCGGGGCCAGGGGAAGGTATTCTACTGCGATAAATGTCCAACATTGCACTTTGATCATTACGCTTCAAACCCTGGAATAGATTTTCATATGACATTATTATTTATAATATGCCTGTCAAGTAAAACAAGTAAAAAATAAAAAATCTGGATATTTTTTTTCAAAAAACTGGGTTATTTTTCTGGAAAATCAGGAGAAAGTCAGGAATTTTATTAAAAAATTAGGGAGAAAAATAGGCATTAGTAAAACAAATGGAGAATTAAAAAATTGGAAGAAATCAGGATTTTTTCTAAAAATGGGGGATACTGGTGGAAAATCGGATTTTCTGAAAAATATTGAAAATTCTGGAGTTTTTCCTCTGATTTAAATTGGGACTCATCATGATCAACCATGACATCTCATTTCTTCTCAGCCCTGAGATGCCATGATATAATGAGCTTGATTTGGCGATCTAGGAGAGCCCAAAATTGAGGATTTTTGAGATCTTTCATCTCAGCTCATATTTCATCTAATTAGGGTCATAAAACTTGTGTACCTGTACCTGTTCTAATACCTGCTGTTGGGACTTGACAGGTGAGTTATAGTATTGATAGAATTGTGAGTGCTCTTTGAATTATATCAGAGAGTGAGCAATTGAAACTTTAGAAGAATGAGACCTCACTTTCATCAATGATTTTCTGTAAATTATTTATGTCATGCTCTAAAAGTAACTTACCTTCATCTCGAGGACTTTCTGGAAATCATTTTTGTCATGCTCTGAGAGTAACTTCATAATAGAAATCAAGATAAGTAAAAGAGCCATGCCATGCTCAGAAAGTAACTTCCCTTCATCTCAAGGACTTTCTGGAAATCATTTATATCATGTTCCAAGAGTACCTACCTTCATCTCAAGGACTTTCTGGAAATCATTTATGTCATGCTCTGACAGTAACTTGATGTAGTTATCAACGAATCCCTGGGGTGGATCATGTGGCGACATGACAACCTTCAATATCATCTCTGCCTTCGTCATGCCCTTCACAACTATCTTTGTGTAACTGAAATAAGGCACATGGATATTTATTATGTCATTCAACCAATGAACGGATGATGAGAGGGAGATGTAAACTTAAAAATTTGTATTTTTTAGTTTAATTATATTATGCTTGGTCTACCTTGCTGGTGCTTTATGTCCCACTTGTGAACCAAGAAGGGGGAGGACTTTTAGTCCCGATAGATCAATCCGGTAAATCATGCTATTTATCGGTTATGATGTCATTCTTACAATTTCAGTGCAGAAATAAGATAAAAATATTGCTAATTTTCAAAAACTTCTTTCAATTTTGTTTACATTGCTGCCTGCAAAGTATGACATCATAAATCTAGCCAATATACCTTAGTTTCCTTGGTTCACAAATAGGGGTCAGGATTTATTGGAAAGGTCCATTGTGAGTTGAGAGAGGGGGACTTATCTAGTCGATGCTTTATGTCGCACTTGTGAACCAATGAAGGGAGAACTTACCTTGCTGGTGCTTTACGTCCCACTTGCGAGCCCAGAGATGGGAGGTCTAGGAGGACTGTTTTCAGGGAGTGGGTGTCCAGCAACAACTGCTCTGCCCCCACAGTGCTTATAGGGCGACATCTATAGATATTGTTGATAAACTTTGGAATGAAAGAGCTGAAAATGAAAAGGGAACATTCATGATCAAATACAATTATGGTTAATGTATTTCGATAATGATAATTTGATGTTATCAGAGTTCAATCTACAGGGTTTTAATTAAGTACTGATCAACATTTCAAGTCTGCCTAATCCGATCCGAATGCCTATGGATCACCCTAAAGTGTTCCGATTAACAGGTGTTCACACTTCAAGTTTTTGTAAGTCAGTGAAAGATGACTGAGAAAAAGTGTTCACATTGAGAGATATTTGGATAAGAGAGGTGTTTGGATAAAGGATTTAAGTGCATTGTTTGCTGAATCATACCATGAAGGTGCTGTTTCCAAACCTTTGCATGACCACACAGCTGGAATGCAAAGTTTTGGAAACAATGCCTGAGTGGAATGAAGCAGCTACAATGCATTGAGTCTTGGGCTTAAATTCTTTTCACTTATTGCAATTTTTTTTCTATAAAATCATCTAAAAGGAATGAAATCACTAAAAGAACACGTTTTCAATGACATTTTTTGCAAGGATCAAGTTGGCAAGTCATCAAATCCAATGTGAAAAATCCATTCATTACCATGACAGCTGTTTAACTGGTGACCTTGCATGTGTTATTGATATTTCACACACTGTTCAAGATGTGAATACTCTATTCGGATTGGCTGGAATCAGACACACCTTGCCTAGCTATGGGTGAATAAGGTTTCACTTTACTCTTTAATAAATTGTTTGAATCTAAAGCAAGCCAGAATGAGGAATCTTACTTGGCAAACTTGATGTTGAACTGTGTGAAGTATTTCCTAGAATATGCCAGGTTGTCTCTAATGATGGACAGGTTCTGCTTTAGGTGTGCTATGATTGTGCTAACGTAACTACTCTGGTCTCCAACTGACTCCATGTTATTCCATGACATCTGCAAAATAACAAACAATGCAATCTAGGTGTGCTTCTAGGTGTGCTATGATTGTGCTCACATAACTACTCTGGTCCCCAACTGACTCCATATTATTCCATGACATCTGCAAATTAACAAACAATGCAATCTAGGTGTGCTTCTAGGTGTGCTATGATTGTGCTCACATAACTACTCTGGTCCCCAACTGACTCCATATTATTCCATGACATCTGCAAAATAACATAATAATAGTTCACACTGTACAAACCCAATGCAATCTAGGTGTGCTATGATTGCGCTGACGTAACTACTCTGGTCCCCAACTGACTCCATGTTATTCCATGACATCTGCAATATAACATAATAATAGTTCACATTGTACAAACCTAATGCAATCTAGGTGTGCTATGATTGTGCTCACATAACTACTTTGGTCCCCAACTGACTCCATGTTATTCCATGACATCTGCAATATAACATAATAATAGTTCACATTGTACAAACCTAATGCAATCTAGGTGTGCTATGATTGTGCTCACATAACTACTTTGGTCCCCAACTGACTCCATGTTATTCCATGACATCTGCAATATAACATAATAATAGTTCACACTGTACAAACCCAATGCAATCTAGGTGTGCTATGATTGTGCTGACGTAACTACTCTGGTCCCCAACTGACTCCATGTTATTCCATGACATCTGCAATATAACATAATAATAGTTCACACTGTACAAACCCAATGCAATCTAGGTGTGCTATGATTGTGCTGACGTAACTACTCTGGTCCCCAACTGACTCCATGTTATTCTATGACATCTGCAAAATAACATAATAATAGTTCACACTGTACAAACCCAATGCAATCTAGGTGTGCTATGATTGTGCTCACATAACTACTCTGGTCCCCAACTGACTCCATGTTATTCCATGACATCTGCAAAATAACATAATAATAGTTCACACTGTACAAACCCAATGCAATCTAGGTGTGCTATGATTGTGCTCACATAACTACTCTGGTCCCCAACTGACTCCATATTATTCCACGACATCTGCAAAAGAATAACATTATAGTTGTACAGACCCAATGCAACTGAAGACGTTGAAAGCGTCTAGGATGCTCTTTAACCAAACTGCTGTTTTCTTTGAGCCAAATATTAATATGTGAGGGGGAATGAATGATGAAATTCTCAACATCTACCACAAACTCTGTGATACAGATCCATTCTAGACTTGTAACTTTATGGAACAAATGATAACATGATACTCATGATACAACTATGGTTCATCATCTGTACAGCATATACTTCAGCAAGTCATTTACAGTAGGGCCAGTAGTAAAAACAATGTGAAATACAGTCCTATCAAAGTACCTTGTATCAAAATGTATGAATTTCTCTAATTTGAAAACGTGACAGACTACCAGTACCTACAAATTGCTATAATTATCATATCAAATAAAGGAAACCAACCTTAAACATGATAATCAAGGCAGGTTCACAAGCACCCTCTAGGTCCTGGACCAACAGCTGTATGCAGTTAGAGATGACGCTGTTAATGAAAGGAAATATTTAGCAAAAATTTGGAGAAATCAAAGTTTCTAAAAATAAATCCATAGAAAAATCAGGGCTTCAAAAACTAATTCAACAATTCAAAAAATTAGGAGAAATAAGATTTTTTGAAAAAATGAGGTGTGCTTACTTGGAGAACATGTCCATCTGCTGGTGCAGGCTTATCTTATCTGACAAGTCTTGGTCTACTTTACTCTTTAGTTTCTCCTCTAACTGCTGAGTGGTCTCCATACAATACTCAGCAGTGCACAATATGCTACAAACCCTACACTGTTCCTCCTCTGTGAATTTGCTACTGGGAGTTTCCTCATCTTTAAGGATTTCCTTTATCAAACCCATCGCTGATGTAGGGTTTGTTTGAGTGCTGATTCTAAAATTAAAGTTAGTGGAACATTCATACTTCAATCAATCCATTACATATAGAGTAAGACTTGTGAAAGTGGAATGTCTTTTAAAGCTCAAAATATTGTTACATTGAAGAGATTTCACTTACATTTCATATGAAGTTAATATGAAGTGTTGCACTTATAGAGGTGTTCCATTTAACAGGTTTTGCTACACTTACTTTGGCAGGTTGTTGACAAGCATAGTGATGGCATATTCTCGTAGATATTTTTGGAATGTTCTGGAAAGATCCAGCATGGACTGTCCAGTGCTCAGCTGCGCACATTGTACCATACCTGCTTAACATTTACATTTTACTAAAACACATTCATAAAGGAAATATGGTCAGCAATTAGTCTATGCATTAGCAAGACAATTTAGGGTAAAAATTGGGTAACTGGCTGTAAATATTACATTAGTGTTATAATACAAAAATTTTCTCAACTACCATGGTTACTAACAAATTGACCAAAAAACTGATAGAAATTCATTTTTTATGCTCTTCCAAATGCATAGAAATGAATATAGGATTAAATGAAATTGCAAATGCATCATCAAGTTAAATCAATGCATTTTTATATTTAACAAATAGTTACTCTAGATTCTATTTCAAAGGCTTTATCCCTGATCAGTAACTTACATTTCTTGTAAAAGACGAAAAGATCAGCGCAGCTTGGAAGAATCGTAGAACTTTCCTCCGACTCTAATTTAGGCACCCCATGTTTGCGGAAATCCTCCACGAATCTTCCTATGAGTTCTGATAGGTTCCTGCAAAAATTATGTGTTCTTTGTATAATATGTGTTACATATGTGTCAATCTAAACCATGTCTAGTTTGGCTTTGGGTTGAACGAATCTATAGCTAATTATTATTTAGCAAAATAAATTTCTTGAAATTAATTTGGAAATATTGTTTTTAGCATTTTACAATATCTGTACCTTCTCCTTTATTTAACTTGATGGTACACAAAAAAATACTAATGATGGAGAAAACTTATTTCTTCCTTGAGCACAACGGATCTTTTGTTACATTCTGTCTAATCGCATAAGAAAAGTAAAGATCCTTATTTGGAGTATACTCACTTGTCTTGCGACTCTATGTATATGTTGAGATGTGCCTCAAAACACTTGGATATTATCCCAATGAAGGGGTTTGCTGGTGGAGTGGGGGCATCCACCTGTAATGTTAACAAGAGCCTTGCAAGATATATACAGTCTCCAAGAAATGAACTGAGTGCTGGTTTTTGTGAAATGAGGGTGCCTTATACACATCTAAATAGTAGTTAATTGGTTAGAATTTTAAATGTGGAATGATTTTGAAAAGAAATCAATACTTAAACATAAACATGTCAAGAGAAATATTTTGATGATTTTTGTACCTTTTTTACTTTTTTAAAAAGTTACTGTTGCTCTTAGAATCTCAGTTTATACGAGTACATATACTTTATTTTTCATTGGCTTTCACTACTCGAGCACTTTTCAAAATGCCTACTTCATTTAATCAAATTGTCATAGAGATGATTTAGGCAAGTGTGCGTCACATACTTTTTAAAGCATCAAATTCAAGAAAATCAAGACACATATTTTTGAATTTTCTACTTTGTCTACAACAGAACATCTGCAAAGTGAAAGATCACAATTACTAGGCTGGTAACACTATTATTTAACATTTTTTTCTAAATATTTGTTTTTTGGTCTATTTCATTTCAAAACATGCTTATCTCTTCTAATTTCTCTCTAATTTCACTCTCTACTGCCAACTACGGTACATGTGTTTGCTCTTAAGAGTATGAGGGTGTGTCTTAACTAACCAGAACAGCTGGTTCAGATGGCGGTTGTGCCTCATCGGCTGATGAGTCCACGTCAAAGGGATTGGTGGAGTTTGGCTCTTCAAATGGGTTGGTAGAGACGGGCTTGGTAGAGGGAGGTGGAGAAGGGATTACAGTCTGTAAAGCATACGAAGCAGTTCTAGTCACATTGCTAATCATGCAAAAAGAGGAGGAAATTACCCAGGATTCAAAGAGAATCAACCCAAGGTTCAATTTACATGTGGATAGGTTTATCTTTGAATTCTGGGTATTTCCCACTCTGTCATACTACTACTTTTATCTAAAACCTCCAAGCACATAACATTCTTCATATATGTGTCATTCTATATAATCAACCTTTCTTGTTTAATCCAATTCAGAAAATGCAAATCAGAACTGTCAAACAAGAGTATTCAAAGGATATCATTCAATATAATCAAATTTTTCAATCATCTAATTAAAGGAAATGCATTCAGAACTGTCAAACAAGAGTGCTTAAAGGATATCATTCAAAATGATCAATTTTTTCAATCTTCTAAATAAGGAAAGGCATTCAAATAAGAGTGCGAAAGAATTAGCCTTTTCTTATAGCCTTCTACTTACCGCCTCTCCCAGTACAGTTACTCCTGTGAACCTTTTTGTCAACAATGTCTCAAAGTTTGTAGTTCTCTGGATAGCAAATAGGAGGAGCTTCACCTCAATTTCTGTTACTCTCTTGGCCATTAATTTTGCAAGTTCTTTCCTGAAAATAGTTTAAGACCATTATGGTAGATATGAGCAATTTCTACTTTGTTGGCCATTAATTTTGCAAGCTCTTTCCTGAAAATAGTTTAAGACCATTATGGTAGATATGAGTAATTTCTACTTTGTTGGCCATTAATTTTGCAAGCTCTTTCCTGAAAATAGTTTATGACCATTATGGTAGATATGAGCAATTTCTACTTTGTTGGCCATTACTTTTGCAAGCTCTTTCCTGAAAATAGTTTATGACCATTATGGTAGATATGAGTAATTTCTACTTTGTTGGCCATTAATTTTGCAAGCTCTTTCCTGAAAATAGTTTAAGACCATTATGGTAGATATGAGTAATTTCTACTTTGTTGGCCATTAATTTTGCAAGCTCTTTCCTGAAAATAGTTTAAGACCATTATGGTAGATATGAGTAATTTCTACTTTGTTGGCCATTAATTTTGCAAGCTCTTTCCTGAAAATAGTTTATGACCATTATGGTAGATATGAGTAATTTCTACTTTGTTGGCCATTAATTTTGCAAGCTCTTTCCTGAAAATAGTTTATGACCATTATGGTAGATATGAGCAATTTCTACTTTGTTGGCCATTAATTTTGCAAGCTCTTTCCTGAAAATAGTTTATGACCATTATGGTAGATATGAGCAATTTCTACTTTGTTGGGCATTACTTTTGCAAGCTCTTTCCTGAAAATAGTTTATGACCATTATGGTAGATATGAGTAATTTCTACTTTGTTGGCCATTAATTTTGCAAGCTCTTTCCTGAAATAGTTTATGACCATTATGGTAGATATGAGCAATTTCTACTTTGTTGGCCATTACTTTTGCAAGCTCTTTCCTGAAAATAGTTTATGACCATTATGGTAGATATGAGCAATTTCTACTTTGTTGGCCATTAATTTAGCAAGCTCTTTTCTGAAAATAGTTTAAGACCATTACGATAGATATGAACCTTAAACTGAATGAGATGAAGTTAGGCCCATTTTAGACTATAAATCATTTCATGGTGCAAAACACTTGAATAAAAAATTTAAAATACAACGAGAAATACTCAGGTGATGAAAAGTAAGTTCTTATCTTTCTCAAAGAACACTGAGTAGTATGGTCAGAGCAGCTTTAATATAAAAACCATTTTTCCATCATTATACATTTGGACCCTGGGGACCAACCTACCTTGTAACGTGGCAGAACTCAACTGCTATCCGCTCACTCACTTCCCAGTCCATTGGAAACAGGCGGCCAAACTTTTCCATCATTATACATTTGTACCCTGTGAGTCAACCTACCTTGTAACGTGGCAGAACTCAACTGCTATACGCTCACTCACTTCCCAGTCCATAGGAAACAGGCGGCCAAACTTTTCCATCATTATACATTTGTACCCTGTGAGTCAACCTACCTTGTAACGTGGCAGAACTCAACTGCTATCCGCTCACTCACTTCCCAGTCCATTGGAAACAGGCGGCCAAACTTTTCCATCATTATACATTTGTACCCTGTGAGTCAACCTACCTTGTAACGTGGCAGAACTCAACTGCTATACGCTCACTCACTTCCCAGTCCATAGGAAACAGGCGGCCAAACTTTTCCATCATTATACATTTGTACCCTGTGAGTAAACCTACCTTGTAACGTGGCAGAACTCAACTGCTATCCGCTCACTCACTTCCCAGTCCATTGGAAACAGGCAGCCAAACTTTTCCATCATTATACATTTGTACCCTGTGAGTCAACCTACCTTGTAACGTGGCAGAACTCAACTGCTATACGCTCACTCACTTCCCAGTCCATAGGAAACAGGCGGCCAAACTTTTCCATCATTATACATTTGTACCCTGTGAGTAAACCTACCTTGTAACGTGGCAGAACTCAACTGCTATCCGCTCACTCACTTCCCAGTCCAGAGGAAACAGGCGGCCAAACTTTTCCATCATTATACATTTGTACCCTGTGAGTCAACCTACCTTGTAACGTGGCAGAACTCAACTGCTATACGCTCACTCACTTCCCAGTCCATAGGAAACAGGCGGCCAAACTTTTCCATCATTATACATTTGTACCCTGTGAGTAAACCTACCTTGTAACGTGGCAGAACTCAACTGCTATCCGCTCACTCACTTCCCAGTCCAGAGGAAACAGGCGGCCAAACTTTTCCATCATTATACATTTGTACCCTGTGAGTCAACCTACCTTGTAACGTGGCAGAACTCAACTGCTATACGCTCACTCACTTCCCAGTCCATAGGGAACAGGCGGCCAAACTTTTCCTCAAACTCAACCAGAGTTCTCTTAATCCATGCATATCTCCTGTCAATCTTGTCCAGCCATGCAACCTATGAAGAAAAGAAAATGAGAAATGCCAATTAAATAATAACATACCACAACATGAGTTGGGTTCTACGTTATTGGGATCCAACATTTTACAATTACTATGACTTGTTGGAATCCTAGTACATATGCACATGTAAATGGTCACTACTAATAGGATTACCACCACCCAACATGTGCCCCAAGGCATTTCACAGTGAATAAATTGCATGTCTCTATTTATAGTTATCTAGCACAGACAGTTTCTTTCAACACTTTCTTACCAACTTTTAATACCATAAGACAGGATGCAACGGATAGGCTAAATGCACATATCTCCATGTACAGGTTGAGCAAAAATGGTGCCCAAATATATGTTAATAACTTTGTCATCCACCATTGGTTACAAGTCATATTTGGCAGAATGAAAGAAAATTGAACAAGGTTCATTATAACCATGCACAATATGGCTGTTAACCCATGCAGGATGACTAAGTTATTAACATTTATTTAGGTTACCTTTTTTGGCTCACCCTTTATTTATGCTATGTAGGCTATATAAACATGAAATGTATCATTAATTAGATGCTTGTTCAAATTGTGAAAATGAATTTTTAATTTAGAAAATTGAATATTTGTCTTGAAGCCTTTGTGACCCCCAAACCCTCTACTAACACCTCCTTACAATCTGGTAGTTAAGTCGATAGACTCACATCTTGGTTTTCTCCAAACAACACCAGATACTCCGATAGCTGTATTCTCACAAACCAGTCTAGGAGGTCCTTCTTCACTTTAGGCTCAAGTACATTTGCAACTAAGCAGGCTTCGGCTAACTGGGCCTGGTTTGTAGGACCATACTGTAACAGAAACACATGTAAGGGTCTCAGTCCATTTAATATATAACTGTAACAATATTGATTGTTCTACTTGATTGCTATATAATATGATTGTTCTGTCAAATGTGTTCCCGGGTTTAACTACATGTATTGTATTGCACTGACCGAAAAAAGAATATACTGCATTTGTGGGTAAAATCTAACATGGCTACTTATCTTCTTTGAATACTGAACACAATCTTTACAATAACTATCACATGTTTCAATTTACTCATAATCTAAGAGGGGATTAACATTAAAATTATATGGTTTTATTGTACTGTACCTCAGAATATGAAGTGTTTACGTGATGGGAAGAGTTCCTTATAAAGTTTATGCCTTACCTTAGCATTGGGGCCTTGGAATGCATCTTCAAAGTCGGATCTTATCTGGACTGCTAGCTCCGACTGCATCTGTTTCACCCTGTATATACACACAAGACAAGTGTTAAACATGACTTGAGCCTTTTCATTCATCAAACAAGGCATGTAAATTATAAAATGGATTTTTGCATATATTCTAGTTAAATTACCACAATAAGTTTTTGAGCTTTAAGCTTTTTAACTTACCTATCAGCAAGCTGTCTTATTTGTGGAACCTGCATGTACTTGTTAAAGTGTTCTAATACATTGAGGACACCCTGAAGCAGGTTAGCCACCTCACCATACTGTCGTCTCCTAATCAAATTGCTGCAAACAGTATTACAGTTTTAAAACTACAGAGTTTAAGATACAAGTATATAGCCCAATTTCAAATTTCCCTCCGCAGTAACTCAAATCAAAATTCTATGCATGTAGGATGAGGCATTTTACAGTAAAATTTATCTAATAATATCCTGTGATTGATGAAACTTTGGATATAATATGAATACTGCAAGACAGATGAACATTCACTCTCAAGAAAATAGGTATAAAGATGTTCAGAAAGAAGCCTACATGAACAATGGTAAACTTTCTGTCATGTATCTTTAAGGGATGAATCCATCTCATCTCTTAACAATCAAATTCTTGTATCAAACATATAGAGGTGTAAATTCACAACCAAACCATGATTCTTTTTACTTATCTACTCGTGGCTCACTCGTTCTACTCAATAATGATGTTTAACTGAATTGCACTAATTTTATATTTGTATTGAAAAAAATGTAACTAATGTAAAATGTGTCTCATAAGCCCAGGTAGGGCTGGCTATTTTAGATAGGTGACACTTAAATAAATGAATGAATAAATTAATGAATAAATATCTAATTGTGACTTACTCTAAGGAGTCAACACCCCCCACGAGCATGTGTAGATGGTTCAGTGTTGTGATAGAGCATGTCAAATTCCTCTTGGCGTGGTCCAACTGCTTGATATCCCTCGTGATCTCTTTTACCTTAACATAGGATAAATATATGTACTGTAAAAGCCCAAATTTTCAAAGTGCCCTAATTTCAGCCATATTTGTGTCTGGGTGTTTAGCGCGAATTCAAGAGCTGGTGGATTAAAGGCCACATTGATTCAGTGGTATGTGGATTCAAACTCAAAGTTAGAAAAAGCCCAGTTTATATACAATATATGGTGAGACATAAAATATACATATGGTGAAACACTAACCAATCAGCATGGGTTAGATTTATCTCATGGCTTTCACATCATAACAAGCATGTCAGGGGTTTCATTAGCAGCAGGCAACAGGCAATTTTCACCAGTTGTTTTCACAAAATTGCCAGTTGTTTTTAGAGTCTTTTCAAATTTTCCATGTTAAATTTATGATCACCATTAATTTTGCCTGTTGTTACCATTTATTATTATGAAAACCCTGCACATAGAGCAATTTTTTTCTTTCAGATAACCACAAGATAACATACCATTTCTTCAGACTTTTCAGCCTTATCCTTTATATCTTTAATACGTGTAAACAGTTGTTGAATGGCTCTCTGTGCCTCCTCCAAGGCTCCTTTACCATCCTCGCCTACATTTGTCTGACCTCGTACCACTGTGCGGATCTCATTGTCAAGATTCCTAAAGGGCAAATCAACAAATACAGTGAAACCAGTACATCAAAACACATCTCTAGTCTGAACGCTACTCAATGTGAACACTTTTTCTCCAAAATGTGTTATCTTCAATTGAAATTGAAATCAAGAATCCTAAAGGGCAAATCAACAAATACAGTGAAACCAGTATATCAAAACACCTCTATAGTCTGATCACTACTCAAAATGATCACTTTTCTCCAAAATGTGTTATCTTCCAATGAAATCAAGATTCCTAAAGGGCAAATCAAGAAATACAGTGAAACCAGTATATCAAAACACATCTCTAGTCTGAACACTACTCAAAATGAACACTTTTTCTCCAAAATGTGTTATCTTCAATTGAAATTGAAATCAAGAATCCTAAAGGGCAAATCAACAAATACAGTGAAACCAGTATATCAAAACACCTCTATAGTCTGATCACTACTCAAAATGATCACTTTTCTCCAAAATGTGTTATCTTCCAATGAAATCAAGATTCCTAAAGGGCAAATCAACAAATACAGTGAAACCAGTATATTAAAACACCTCTCTAGTCTGAACACTACTCAAAATGAACACTTTTTCTCCAAAATGTGTTATCTTCAATTGAAATCAAGATTCCTAAAGGGCAAATCAACAAATACAGTGAAACCAGTATATCAAAACACCTCTATTATCTGAACACTTCTAATGTCAACATGTTTTCTTGGTCTCAAAAATTGGTATCTTCCATTGATATTGAAAGAATCTTATAACATTTGTTAATCCAAGGAAATTTTGTCTGGTCCCAGAGGTGTTCAGATTAGACAGGTTTTACTGTATATTTCTATCTCTAATATTAAGTAAAATCTTCAGTTCTAGTGACACTTTTTTATGTCATGAGCTTATTCCATTAGTTCGCAAAAGTATACAAACAATCAATAATTTTTTTAAAACATTAGCGGCAATTTTTAGTGACACCAATGCAGTGATTATGAAATAAGTATAAAATATTCAATATGTGCAACTATTTATCACCAGAAAAAATTGGTCAATTTTAAACAAGGTGTATGTAATATGATACCATAAGATATATATGTAATACCTACAACTGGGTTATGCAATGCAAAAGTACCTTATCTTGAAGCGTATCTGTCCTACAACATCATCAATGTTAGTGAGGGACTGCTCAGTGGGGAAGAGACTGTTGATGTACTCCACTGCATTAAAATCAGCTTTGTCTAAGGGGTCTGTACTTGGGAATACCTAAAGCAAATAAACATTCATTGAAATCAGCTTTGTCTAAGGGGTCTGTACTTGGGAATACCTAAAGCAAATAAACATTCATTGAAATCAGCTTTGTCTAAGGGGTCTGTACTTGGGAATACCTAAAGCAAATAAACATTCATTGAATTCAACTTTGTCTAAGGGGTCTGTACTTGGGAATACCTAAAGCAAATCAAGGGCGTTACAATACCCGGGAATTTATCAGTTCGTGCAGTAATTGTTTGTGATAGCTCCCTCTGCAGGTCACTACTTAATAGCCTACAGTAATACGGGGTAGGATATCGGGAATTCGGTGCAGTTTCTATCTGTCGATTAAGCTATGAAGTGAAGCAAGTTTGACCACTTTATCCACTTAAACTATTTGATAATTACTCAGATGCGAGTAGGTAGTTACCAGTCTCGCCACCAGGTGGCTGATTCGGGGGAATTAACAAGGCAGGGTATTACAAAATTCCCTTAAACTTGAATATGCATCAGTTTTAGTGGTTCACTTTTCATATTACCCTTATGTAACTGATAGTTATACAAATTAAAATATGTCCAGTAAAAGAAAATATTATCTGCCCAACACAAGAAAAGATACTTCACTTTTTGTGGTTTTACAATATGGGGTCTATGGGGAATCTCTCCAACCTAAAAGTCACATTTTCAAAGAAAATTAAATTTTCAAAGTTGATAAACTCTTTTCAAAACCACATTTCTAAATGTAATTTTACATGTAGATTCCAAATATGACATCAGTTTGCCTGAATAGTATAGTTTCCATATAGCTTTAAAATGTTTTGTAGGACAATTTTGATGGAAGTTGAATCAATTTTTGTCGAAATAAATTATGGCTCACTACAAGTTAATGCCTGTACGATTCCATACTGCAAAAGAAGCACTATCCCCCCTCAAAAGAAAAAAGTAGGTCTTGCCGGGATTCGAACTCGGGACCGAGTGTGTTCGAATCGTGCTCGCTAACCACTAGACTACCAGTGATGAAGTTATTTATGAAATCAAAAGTAGTGAATTTATTTATGAAATTGTCGGCTCTCTAGCAAAAACACGTAGCAGCCACTTGCGTACCGACAATTGTCGGTTCTCTATCTGACACTACTACTTGTGCAAACCTGGAAGATGTTGGCAAAGTGGAGAAGGAGTTATTCTTGTTTGAAAAATAACATGTGACTCAATTGTGGAATGCAGAATATTTCCCAACATGCACCCTGTCCTTAATTACGGAAAATAGGGATGTAGGTCACTAATAGTTCCAACGTTGCCCTTTTTACTACGCGTGTGGCCTTCATCTCAGAACTGAACAAATGTTAGCAAAAACGAGTTACAATAAATGGATGCTGATATCTTGAAAAGTAACCTGACTCCCTACAAATCAAATTTTCAGAATGGATCAATGCAGCATCGTCCAAATCAAGTTATTACATAATGATATTCAGATAAGAAGTCTGGTAGAAATATAGGACATCCATACATCATAGCTAATAGTTAAAAGCTAATCTGTCAATTTGCTATCGTCTGCTTAGGAACATTTACATTTTACATGAAGAAATGACTGAGCTGGATAGCCTTTTGATATCTAGAAATCCTCAGGAAAATATGACGTCATACTAATTAGCATTAGGAATTCCCTAGTGGTCTGGGTCGAGCTTCGTTCAAAAACACAATCCGATAAATAATTTCTAGGAGATAGGAAGTGGATAACGTGTTTATCGATTTTGTTTAAAGATTTAATCAATATCCCAGATGCGAGCAGAAATAATCCTGATTCACGTCATTAAAAATTCACAATAGGATAGTTTCTAAATAGCAGAAAAATCAATGAAATCTTGTGCTGCCATCTTTTATTCAGCTTTTAACTTGGGCTAGAGCTCTATTCATTTACATGCTAAAATCTTGTAAAAGTGGCTTAATTTCATGATTTATCAAAGTGTGTTTGTTGAATCTGTATAAGACTTAAATGATATACCACATGATGACCCTGTTTATGTACATGTTGTGATTAAACATGCAAATGTTGATTGACATACAAATCCACGGATTTAAAGAATTTTAGCATTGCATCTATGGACATTTGGCCCAAGTTTTTTTAAATTGTTATAAAAAATTATTCAAATTACATAACTGTGTAAATCAAAACTATTATAGGAGAAAACATTTTTCTGAATTCAAATATGCCATTTAAAAGAAGGTAATGTAAGTCTAATATGCAAGTCTCTTAAAATCTCACGAAAAACGAGATTTAGCGAGATTTCAAAAGCTATATTTTAAAGCTCTTTTCTTGTTCTATCTAATGGGTCGATATATACAATTAGGAGGGGATGCTTTCGCCCCCGTCGACCTCTACCCTTACTACGCCATGGCACAGGAGAAATATCTCATTTGGAATATATCACTGTTTACTTTGCGTTTGGTAGCTCTCTCATGCGAGATGGAATCGTAGCCATTAACTAAGGGAGCCAGATGCAACTTCCATCAAAAATTGTGCTATAAGGTATGAGTACCGTAATCCAACACCAAATTCGAAAATTCATAACAATACTTTGCACATATGGCGTTCGTGACCAACTATGAAACGCTTACCCCCCATAGTGTTATACATCAAAATGCACCTGTCCATATAGGGGTTCGATTGACCTACATCAAATTATAGGGAGTCAGGTTACTTTTTGAGATATCAGCGTCCGTTTATTGTAACTCGCGTTTGCTACCACTTCCTCAATTCTGATATGACAGGCAAACGCGTAGTAAACATCCTCACGTTCGGAACTATTTTGACCTACATCGCTATTTTCGTAATTCAAATGAAAGTTGAACTCCTCTTTATTTTGATACCAAATAGTGGCATACTATGTACCCTAGAAGCCAACTATGGGTTATTTAGAACGATACCACAGGTTTTTAAATGGACTATATACCTTTTGGCGGATGGATATGGAACCTCATACCATACGATAAGCTCTAAAAAACATTCTAGCTATTTTCTTCTATCTAATGGGTAGCAAACGCCCCTTCCTTTTTATTGGGTTTTCAACGTTTACTACCATTCCCTGTTCCCGGGCTACCATTTTTTGACTGGGTTTGGTAATCCCCGGGTAACCGGGGCTAATGCCCTCCCCGGGTTTTGCACTTGTTCCCAAAATATCCGTATGATATCTGAAATATCCCCCCGCGCATTGCGCATGCGCCAGAAAATTCGAAAATCAATATTTGTTGGTCCTCTAGCGTGTAAACACAGCATATCTCCCGTACCGACAATTTATTTGTCGGTCCTCTAGCGTGCCACCACATCAGAGTCTAGAGTACCGACAATTGTCGGTACTCTAGCCTTTACGTAAAATGAAAGTTTAACTCTTCCTCTTTATTTTGGTACCAGATAACGGCATTTGCTAGGTACTTGAGGAGCCAACTATAGCTTTTAAATAGGTAGCCCAAACTTTACTCCCATAAAGTGCAAAACAACTTAGCTTCTTATATCACAAGATAATCATAATATAGGGGATTGCAATAATTTTGGAAATTCGCGGAGGTCAAAACCGATATTTGCAGGTCTTTGTAGGACAAGTGAATTAGCCTAATTTTGATCAAATTGCGGGATAATCCTGCCATTCGTGGGATGCTTAATTAACAGCTGGACAGCTACAGGGAGGGCCTATCGCTATCAAAAAATATTTTCTAGGTTACGAGACTTCCTATAGTCTAATAGAGAGTAGATGGAGCTGTGTCAGTGTTTGTGTTTGTGCCAATTGGCAATTTGATTTGACGTCTAAAGAAAAGTAAATCTGATTCAGTGATCACTGATCAGTCAGTGAGTGATTGGACTGAAATTTTTGAGGGAGGAGGCCTGGATTATATTATTTACAAAAGCTCAGTCTATATACACGCTGTGACCTTGAAACATAGTATAGTTCATCTTTATAACATATTTATCCTACCTGATCAATAGCTTCTTGAACTTCTACTGGAAACTCTAGTAAACCGTCTGAAAACTCATCTTCTAAGACGTCTTCGTCTTCCAGAGCAGCCATCCTTGAACTTGCAGTGTTTTAGCGAACGTGAGTTATTTGTTTTCTACTGTTCGTGTTTTTAGCGTGATTTTAGTTCTGATACTACTCCACTATTGAATTGCCGATTTCTACTCGCCGTAATGAAACACACTATCAGGTAATCCTAAACGATGCTACATTCACTCCATTAAAGAGATCGAGTCTCCTAAAAACACAATCAAAGTAACCCCCTGATTTTTTTATGTTATTTGATGTAAAACAATCCTGCACTACTGGTAAAGAGGGGTGATGTCAACGCGGTAGCCTGACAGTCGCCCCAGGGTATTTCAACATAAAGGGAATTCCTAGGGGGGTACAGGGGCCAACCAGGAAGGTTCAAATTCTATCACTGTTAAATTATATATCTGCTTTATATGGGCTTATTAGCCTTTTGCAGATTATTGACATAGACATAGTTTATCAACTTACCAATGCTGAGGCTTGAATTAATTCGTTAACAGTATCAATTTGATGATTGTTCCTAGCCATGATTTCCACTTACATCAATAGAAATTAGAAATAAAATTTAAAAAGCCCGCTCAAATTTGTTCCAGTCTGATTGGCTTTTTTTCTTCAGTTTGAACAGATCGTTTTGGTTCAGAGGAGCCATATTTATTACTTCTAAGGGGTTAACATATAGATAAATCCCCAAAAAACATTTTTACAAAGACCCCCCACGAAGTGCGGTTCTTTGCAACTTATTCCGGACATGAACCAGTGGATCGGTCACGTGACCTAAAGACTGCCTTTATTACCTTATATGGCAAATTGTCAAGGGAACTACTAAATCGTCATATGACGCGATTACGGATCGATTGTGTTTCCAAGTAATGTCGTCATGTGACGTAGAACGCATTCATTGCACAGAATTGGTCGAATAGCCGATAGATGTCATTCATTGATTAAACATGACGTCATATTTGAGATCTTAAAGATAAATCTGACGTCATGACGTCAGTGCCATAGAAACTGAGATTGTCTTATTTTATTTTGACGTCATTCCAATGTAATGAACCAGTTATATCACCAAAAGTTATCATATTTTGTTTGAAATTGGCCGAAAAGTTAAAGGTATGAGGATTCTAATCTCAACGGAATCAAACAGATCTACCTTCAAAGTTACAGAAACCTGAGATGACTAAGATACCATATGATTTTAAGTACCTCTACCAGACCGTTGAATATCCTCATTTCACCATTTTGACGCCATTTCTAATGGATTTCAATGGAGTCATGCATGAATTCCTCATGATTTTTTCAAAACAAATTGGCCGAAAAGTGTGCATGTGTACATTGCTTAAAACATGTTAAATCAGTAAAGGTTGATGTCTAGTTATAGAAACCTGAGATGACTAAGGTGGCAAATCAATATCATTCGCACAGTAAGCGTTCGAAAATGTCTCCATTATAAATCCCATAGGCTTTGGAAAACCGGAAGTAATGGTTCTGCGCATGCGCAGTGAAATATTGGACAAATTTTGTGCAATGGTCCGCCATTGCTCTCAATTTTGTCTGAACGGGTAAGCGTATTTTAACATTTCTGTCATTTAAAGCCTGGTTTTCAGTATTTATAATCGAATTTCACTTCAACTTGATTGTAGAAATGAATAGAATTGTAACTTCTTATTTTACTGAATCATTATTCGAGCCAGAAGTGGCGCAAAATCAATTTATGAACTTGAAGAAATTTAGTTACTCATGGTTCAACGAGTTTTTCAGATGGTTCAAATAGGCTAGTCAACACTGATATATTTAATGTTCTGTAAATGGTTAGTATGATGCTATGCTGGTCGCAAGGAGAGGTATCAAAAGTTCAATGTCTGATACAGTGGCGTAGCCAGGATTTGGTGACCGGGGGTTCTATTTTTATGATATTCACAACCCCCCCCCCCCCTCCCCTTCATTAGGGTTTCTCAAATAATGCAATTTGTACAATTACACTCCCTCCAACAGTTTGGCAATCCTAACTAACCCATTGGATTATGTATTAAGGCATCTTTAAGTTTGAATTCTTATATGCATAATTTGTAAAGAAAAAACTATTTTGGGAGGGGAAATACAATTCATTTCAATACCTTATTAAAGGCAGAATCTGATCTATAGGGGGTGACAAAATTACAAGCAACATGTATAATTGACTTACCAATCTATTCCTTACAACATCAAATACAATATCTCCCAAAAGATTCACAACATGTTATAAATTGGTGAAGTTATTAATGATTCAAAGTGCAAAAATGAAAGTGCAAAATCGTATTATTGATGAAAATATATATCATTCAAATAAGTGGGTCTCGGTTATGCTTTGTTTTAAAACGTTAAAAATATTTCTTTGGACGTCCCCGGAGCTCAGTAGTAAGTCACACAGAGCAGATCAACCGCAATTGATAATAAAAACGTTTTAGTGGATATAAATTATATAAATACAAGCGACTGTTATTTTGTTAACTTTTCAATGTTTTTTTATTATATAATTTATTCGCTAAACATATCGTTACATTAACACGAAAATGGAGAGCAAGTAAACTGGAACGATAACAATTTGAATTCTATACAATCTCTTAGATGAGTGGAGTGTATCTGAAAAAACAAAATCATTTTTTGCAATGATTGATTTTTCTTTGGAAAAGTGATGGGTAAATAAACACTGAACAAATGAAAGAATGAATAAATTGAACAAATGCTCGTGTTTATAAATGATATACGCTTTTAAATAATTCATTTCACAACGTTTTTAATTATTTAACGCAATTGGTTTCGGGGACTTGCCAGCCCCAGGGACGTCCCAAGAAATATTTTAATTAAATTTTAATCGAAATAAAACAAAACAGAGATGTACACATTTGAAAGAACGTGTGTTTAATCAATATTAAAACTATTCCAGATATTTATTCGTCAATGTTGTAAAAATCATTCGGAGTATGGGACGTCTGCATTGTTTTCAATAACTTTAAATAACTTCGTATTGGAACAGAACTGGTGGCTTCCTACAGACGACAGAGGACTGATTTAGCCATTGCCCAAGATGGGTTATTTTGTCCGAGAAGAAGCATGCTTCTAAGTTAATTGTGCGAAATTATTATTGTTATTTCTAAATGTAAAATCTCATGCTCTGGGGTCTTCCCAAAATTAAATCTCACCCCGTGCCTAAGGTTGCCAAACGTTTTGAGGGAAGTGTAACTTCACTAAGACATGTTTTTAAGAACACCAACAAATATCAATTCATTTACTGCTCATATACGGTATGTAGTTTTCAAATAGCACAGTAATTTAATGATTCTGGTTATATGCATTTTTCCGCAAAATGATATTTTGGGAAATCCTGACCGGGGGTTCGTTCGAACCCACCGAACCCCCGCTGCCTACGGCTATGTGATAGGAAGCTAAATTAATCTAGTTTTGAGTTTGACCCCCTCCCCCCAAAAAACGTGATCATCGCGGACTTTTCGCGTGTGGACTTTCGTGGATTTTGGATTTTCATTGGGATATAACCATAACGTATGTAGGCTACAATGTAGAATTCTTAAAACATGTGACAACAACAGTAAACAGCATTTGCAGAAAACATCAAGTAAACTCTTTATTTTAAAACCATTCAAAGGAATTCTGATCCGAGTCAAAATTGCACAAAAATTGAAATGTTAAAATTTGTCTGATAGCAAACTGAAATGGCTTTGCCCCCCCCCCTTCTAGATTTATTTAGTTTTATAGGCTTATCCGTCGACATTGAACCTTAGATGCCTCCCGCCAGACTTATGTCACGAGACTGGCTATTACCATCTACATAAGAAGTGAACGATAGTTTTTTAAACTGGAAGGTCAAGGTCGGAACTCAAATGAATATAGACTGCCCCAATTCATTTCTTTTTCAGAACAAGAACGCCAACAACAACAAGATCCTATGCATACGACCACGCACACCAACAACAAGTGCAACAACAAATAACGCAAACAATTATAAAGGTTATGTCAACAAAGACATATATTAAATTACAGGTGTGAAATCGGCAAAACTTGGGCTCAGTAGACAATAAAGAAGTTTACTGTAGAAGTGTACATGCTAAGGTGTCAAGGTATGTATCAAATCAAGAGATCAAAAGACTAAAAGCTAATGTATATTTTGTAACAATGAGAGGTAAAGCAATACCATTTTTATTACATGAACCACAAACATGTGAACGTGCTACTTTAAAAACGGAGGAAACGTAATTTGTAGGTCTTAAACTTAAAACTGGTTTATTTCTTTTGCTAGTGGTCTCTGTTTTATTTTCTATTTACGACAAAGTAATAAGAGTGTTTCGACCCTTCCAAGCCGCGGTTTATGTTGCAAGAAGTACTAATACAATAATATTGTATTTAAAAAACTATTAGTATGAACTGTATGAATACATGAAATATCTTCATTCAAAGCCGCGGTTTATGTTGCAAGAAGTACTAATATGTATTTAAAAAACTATTAGTATGAACTGTATGAATACATGAAATATCTTCATTCAAAGGTATAAATGTTGTACAAAGACAGGCAGGAAATGTATTGACTAAGGCCACACATATAAGATATGCTTTTATCTCATATTTCCAGGGCACGGTAATAATAACAAAGGTCAAGAAGGATGATGTACATTAGAACTTTCCACAGAGTCCAAGTGATGTCACGACAAGATCCAATGAGTTTCAATCAGGGTCCAGATGTCATACACTAGGGATTTAATTGGACTTTTTGAGATTTGTTGTATATTTTTGGGCTATAAGACGCCACAATATACTGAAATATGTGCTTAAGTTACATGATTGTTTTATGTCACCGTGTAGAGATGGTGACATAATGAAGTTTGTTAGAGTTTATTCGTATATTTAAACTTTTTCTTGGTAATGCAATACTGCATCAAAACACAAAAAAAACAGATATAGAAATTGTGTTCACAGTTTGAAAATCTGATTTAAAACTTCTTGCAAAATGTAACATAACGTAAAAGAGCACGAAGCGCTATCTATGTATATTGTTCTTGGTAAAAAAGTCACTTACAAAAATAACAATAGAGTTCCTTACTTGTAAGTCACCCTACCCCATCCAGAACAGTATACCAGTAGCCTAATAGCATAAGTGGCGCTACACACTTCTGTGACAATATAACCATTTACTTAATAGATTCCACTAAAAGCAACATTTCACTATCACTCCATCTTTTCCGCCCCTTATACCTAACTTCGGGTCTTTGTAGTTTTTCAGTGATTTTTTCACTGGATTATCTTGTTATTGTTTTCAACTTATTGTGTTCAATTCTGACACTTGGTTGTTTTGTTGGTTGTCCTGTTGATTTTCTCAGTATATTGGTGAAATTGTGCTTATGATATGGTCTCAAGATATATCTAGGGTAAATATGATGTTTTATGAGCAATTATATATTGGGACATTACTGGTTGTCCAGAATAGAAATCTGCTTAGTCTTTTGCAGATTATTGACATAGACATAGGCATTTCATCATTGAATCTAAAGAGATAAATGCCGCTCTCGAGTTAGAAAAATGGCGGATGGAAATAACCATAGATTCTGGGCCGATATAAAGATAGCAGCACCAAGATATTACACTATTATCAAGAGAATAAATAAACACAGATCGATTACCATGTCATCTTTATTTTAAACTTATTTCTATCGACCTTAGCCTATGAAAATAACCACCTGTCTATACAATCAAAGAAAAAAAGTCAAATATGTGTAACGGCCAAGCTGCTATTACAGGCCAACCTTTAAAGTTCACTCGGTATGTAGATCTATGGGACAATATTTGGATGCCAAAATTTGATATTATGTAGTGGGGATATGTATCAGATGCTGGCACAGTTTTGCCGGAAGTTCCCAAGAAGTAACTTTTGGCAATGCAGTATGTTAGAGTAACTTAGTAGGTGTAAGAAAATATAAGGTGATGGCCTCTAAAGTGGTAAAAACAATTTTCACGGCCGAATTGGACTTCAATTCCTGCGATTTCAGGGGGTACTATAAGACTATTTCATAACATAAAGGATATAGTTGCTATTGTTCTGCTTTCTACAGCACACATTACTAGTCCAAAGATGAATAATATCCTAAAGTTATAGGCCGATATCTATATTAGTCTCAGAAATATTGCAATTAATAGGAAAAAAATATGCAATATTAGTCATTTTTAAGTCTCACGTATCTTATATTTGTAGCTTCCAGCAAAAGATGGCAGCTTAAATAGCTCAAAATTGTTTTCTAAAACCTAATTCAAGCTTTGTTTGATATTGTAATACAATTATAATAATGATAATGTTATATTTATGATTTTTAATATGACTTTATAGTACCCTACCCCTGGAAAGTGGGTGTGGTCAATGTAATCATTTTGCAGCATACAATTAAAAACTTGTATTGATAGAAAGCAAATCAATGCATTTTTAACATTTTCACTTGTTGCTTGACATTGTAATTCATTCATTACTAAAATATAGGACTCTACATATTTTATATATACGTTTTCAATTTTGTACAATGTATCATGATGAAATCTAATAGGCTGTTTCATTTTCAGTGTTCACTAACGCATGAAATGTAAGTCACAGTGTTTCCAAATTACCTTTGCAATGAGAAGGTACCACAAAGACTACATAATATGAGCAGTTTCAAGGTCCTAATACTAATACTTACTGATCTATCGGCGTGCAAAAATAGAGAAAGCTGTCGTGAGTGCAGTTTTAACTAACTTTGAACTGAAACTGCTGCTTAATGAATATTTTTCTCAACATCTGTGACTTTTTTAGACCCCAAACATAAGATACCAAGACATAATGCTACCAAGTTCTGATATTGGAAGTTTCAGAGCTCTAGATCAAATATTCACTTCTGCATGTACTTTTAAAAAGACCCAAAAGGACAAAAACCTGTCAGATATCGTGAAAAATATGAAAGATGCACTATTCAGAACAATTTATCTCTTAAATGTTACTTTTATTTGACATAATTTCTGATTCTGCCTCCAGTTAGTACCACCAATAATACATATGAGAAGACTTAACGTCATAGTAAGTTGAAGTACAGATCTATTGGCTTCTGAAAATGGGAAAAGCTGTAGCAAGTATGATTTTCACCAGTTTTTCATCTAAGACTGCAACTTTCTGAATTTTCTTTTTACAAACTGCACAGTAAGACCAAAGACATTAAAGGAAACCTGGTCATTGTACCACCAATAATAAGTAAAAATAATATTGGTAATATATACCAAGTGTTTTCTTTAATTCCAAGGCATCTGAATTGATAAATAAATGAAATCAGTACTTTATTGTATCTTGGGACAAAATACACTGTTTGAATGCTTAAGCTTGACATCACAGTATCAAGTGAAAGATACGTTGTTATAAACAGCTATATATCACTTACTCTTCAATTTGAAATATGCCTGGCCATCCTAAGAAAAATGCGACGGAGGGCAAAGAGGGTGCATGGTATAATTGGTAATTAAGCTCTTCTAGAGTTTAAAGCTCCCACAATTTTTAAAAATGAAATGGAGAATAACATGTGAAAGTATAGGATGGACTAATTGTTCTAAGAAAGTTTTTGAAAGTAACATTGCATGAAATGTTTAAGCAAGAGATATGTTCCAAAATACTTTCAGGTAGAAATAAATGTATTCTCAGTATTCAATAATAACATTCTTTATAGGTTTTTTGGTCTTAAGCATATCAGTGATTATCCCATGGTTGCAAGGATATAGATCGAATATCACATGAAGATATATTTGATATGTGGATCAGGTTATAATATTTTAGCAAAAAATTCACAAACCATCGAATATCACTTTTAAACTATTGAATATCACGTCTTAAAAAGTGATATTCGATGGAGTGAAAAGTGATATTCGATGGTTTCGAATTTTTTCAAAAAAGAATTTCTTTTTACATTTTTTAAATTATTTTCAAAAATATTTTAAAAAAATTTCAACATTTTTTCACAATTTTTTTTCAATTATTTGTTCAAATTTTTTCTCAAATTATATTTTTCACATTTTTTTGCTGATGATGATTTCCCATGGGATGAATAAATTTTTTTTCAAAAATATCAATTATATCCACTCATGGATACAAATATCTTCACTCACTCGCTGCGCTCACTCATGAAAATATCAATATCCACTCATGGATATAAATGATATTTTTTCAAAACCATAGGATATTCCTATATTATATCAATTCGGATGCTGAAGTCACTTAATAAATAATAACTAGATGTAACTCATAGTAAGCACTTCAAGTTTCAGTTCTAAATAAAATACAGTTTAGTTAAAAAATTGTTAAGAATACATACATTTTTTCACAATCACAATTTCACCATTTCTGACTGTATTTTGCATATTTCTAGGTGTCAATGGTTCAATGATTATTTGATATAACCTCCTGAAACTACTCTCATATATATTTGGTGGTACAGTGATATGGAATCCTGTCTTTTGGGGTCTCACGGAATTCTTGTTTTAGAGAAGAAAATCCTGAAAGCTGCAGTTTAATATTATGAATTATAGGTGAAAATTGCACTTGCTACACTGCTTCTCCCATTTTTAAATGCTAATAAATCTGTAACTACACTTACTATGACCTTAAGTCTACTCATATGTATTATTGGTATTACTAACTAGAGGCAGAATCAGAAATTATGGTAAATAAAAGTAAAATTTAAGAGATAAATTGTTCTGAATAGTGCATTTTATCACATTTTTTCGCGATATCTGACTGCATTTTGTGTCTTTTGGGTCTTTTTAAGAGTCCATTCAGATATGAATACTTGATCTAGAGATCTGAAATTTTCAATACCAGAATTTGGTAGCACTATGTCTTGATATCCTGTGTTTGGACTCTAACCAAATCACAGTTGTTGAGAAAAAAATTCATAAGTAGCAGTTTTAATTCAAAATTAGTTGAAACGGCACTCAAGACAGCTTTCCTCATTTTTGAAAGCCGATAGATCGGCAAGCATTTACACCATGATCTTGAATCTGCGCATACATATTCTTAATGGCACTATCTCATTACCCAGATATTGTGGAAACATTGTTGTCAAAAGGTAAGGGTGATCCGAGAAAAAGTTGGTAAATTGAAACAGCCTATTAGATTTCATTATGATACATTGTACAAAATTGAAATCGTATATATAAAATATGTAGAGTCCTATATTTTAATAATAAATGAATTACAATGTCAAGTAACAAGTGAAGATGTTTTAAATGCATTGATTTGCTTTCTATCAATACAAGTTTTTAATTGTATGCTGCAAAATGATAACATTGACCACGTCCACTTTCCAGGGGTAGGGTACTATAAAGCCATATAATAAAAATCATAAATAGTACATTATCATTATTATAATTGTATTACAATATCAAACAAAGCTTGAATTACTTTTTAGAAAACAATTTTGAGCTATTTAAGCTGCCATCTTTTGCTGGAAGCTACAAATATAAGATACGTGAGACTTAAAAATGACTAAAATTGCATATTTTTTTCCTATTAATTGCAATATTTCTGAGACTAATATAGATATCGGCCTATAACTTTAGGATATTATTCATCTTTGGACTAGTAATGTGTGCTGTAGAAAGCAGAACAATAGCAACCATATCCTTCATGTTATGAAATAGTCTTATAGTACCCCCTGAAATCGCAGGAATTGAAGTCCAATTCGGCCGTGAAAATTGTTTTTACCACTTTAAAGGCCATCACCTTACATTTTCTTACACCTACTAGGTTACTCTAACATACTGCATTGCCAAAAGTTACTTCTTGCAAACTTCCGGCAAAACTGTGCCAGCATCTGATATAATAGAGAGTTCTGTAAATATAATGATTGCATAATAAATAGCGGTAATTCATTAAGATTAGTCACACAACTAAAATACATTTCCTAGTTTGGTGATTGTCCTGAAGATTAGCTGCCTTGAATCAGTGGCAGAGGCGAGGCAGTTGACATCGTTTAGAGATATTGTATGGGACCGTTAAACTATTAACTATCTGAAAGGTGTTAAAAATTGTTGAAATTAACATCCCTGAAGAAGTCATTAAGAGTGTTGTAGTCTCAGCATAGGCTTTCAAGGGTCAACTAAGAGCTCATGGTCTCGACCAAAGTGCTATTTTCTTATTGAAAAACGGACTTATATTTAATGTAGTTACACCATAAATTGGAAATCTTTATAAAACATCGCAAAGAACTGAAGAACAAAGTTTACATTTTAAAGTGCGTTTTAGGGACGTATAAAATGTGCTGATTAATAATAAATGGTAAGTTTAAACTCTTGATAGGTAGATTTAGTTATAGAAGCAAGTGGGTTTAGCCTAGATCTAATTTTTGACAAACGAACTAAAAATTCTGCCATTTTTGATTGTTTGCTGATTTTATTCGATCCCAGTCTCAGGGAATGTACTAAAAACCCTTCGACCCTGCGACCTACGACTTACAGCGTGTCAAGAATTTTTGAAATATACTTTTATAAAAACCCTTCGACCTTCTAGATATTTCTCAGTACATATGAAGTTGCTGGAAATATTACAGTTAAATATATTTAACGGAGTGGCTCCAGGACCGACAATTGTCGGTACTGGAGACTGTCCAGGGGTATTTGCTGGGGTACCGACAATTGTCGGCACTCTATCGTCATCTAATAGTGTCAGATAGAGAACCGACAATTGTCGGTACGCAAGTGGCTGCTACGTGTTTTTGCTAGAGAGCCGACAATTTCATAAATAAATTCACTACTTTTAATTTCATAAATAACTTCAACACTGGTAGTCTAGTGGTTAGCGAGCACGATTCGAACACACTCGGTCCCGAGTTCGAATCCCAGCAAGACCTACTTTTTTCTTTTGAGGGGGGGATAGTGCTTCTTTTGCAGTATGGAATCGTACAGGCATTAACTTGTAGTGAGCCATAATTTATTTCGACAAAAAATTGATTCAACTTCCATCAAAATTGTCCTACAAGATTCAATTAATAAACATTTTAAAGCTCTTTTCTTGTTCTATCTAATGGGTCGATATATACAATTAGGAGGGGATGCTTTCGCCCCCGTCGACCTCTACCCTTACTACGCCATGGCACAGGAGAAATATCTCATTTGGAATATATCACTGTTTACTTTGCGTTTGGTAGCTCTCTCATGCGAGATGGAATCGTGGCCATAACTAAGGGAGCCAAATGCAACTTCCATCAAAAATTGTGCTATAAGGTATGAGTACCGTAATCCAACACCAAATTCGAAAATTCATAACAATACTTTGCACATATGGCTTTCGTGACCAACTATGAAACGCTTACCCCCATAGTGTTATATATCAAAATGCACCTGTCCATATAGGGGTTCGATTGACCTACATCAAATTATAGGGAGTCAGGTTGCATTTTGAGATATCAGCGTCCGTTTATTGTAACTCGCGTTTGCTACCACTTCCTCAATTCTGATATGACAGGCAAACGCGTAGTAAACATCCTCACGTTCGGAACTATTTTGACCTACATCGCTATTTTCGTAATTCAAATGAAAGTTGAACTCCTCTTTATTTTGATACCAAATAGTGGCATACTATGTACCCTAGAAGCCAACTATGGGTTATTTAGAACGATACCACAGGTTTTTAAATGGACTATATACCTTTTGGCGGATGGATATGGAACCTCATACCATACGATAAGCTCTAAAAAACATTCTAGCTATTTTCTTCTATCTAATGGGTAGCAAACGCCCCTTCCTTTTTATTGGGTTTTCAACGTTTACTACCATTCCCTGTTCCCGGGCTACCATTTTTTGACTGGGTTTGGTAATCCCCGGGTAACCGGGGCTTATGCCCTCCCCGGGTTTTGCACTTGTTCCCAAAATATCCGTATGATATCTGAAATATCCCCCCGCGCATTGCGCATGCGCCAGAAAATTCGACAATCAATATTTGTCGGTCCTCTAGCGTGTAAACACAGCATATCTCCCGTACCGACAATTTATTTGTCGGTCCTCTAGCGTACCACCACATCAGAGTCTAGAGTACCGACAATTGTCGGTACTCTAGCCTTTACGTATATTTAAAGCTGGACTTCGATCGGAGCCGGCGATGACGTCACTTCCGAATCATAGCATTCAAAATAAGTAGCGTTTAATTACTTCCACCATTCATAATACTTGGTGGTCCAGCGGTAGAATGCTCGCTGAGCACGCAGGAGGCCCGGGTTCGAATCCCGCATTCGCCTTTTTATTTTTTTAACTAAATGATTGTTCTGTGACATTACGCAGATAATGTTTTTTTTATTGACATAAACTTTATATTAGAGCTTGAAAATGTAAAAACAATACATGTCAACATATTGCGTTTTGGAGCGATGTGCAGGTTTAATGTATTCAAGCACATTCGAATGTGAACGTTTCTTACCTCCTCAGTAAAAATATTTGTGCTTTTCCCATCACATTGTAACAGTGGCGCATCGTGCATATTTTCAGGAGATCAAATTTTTTATATAGTTTAAAGAGAACCGTCTTTTGATTTTATCAACTTTGATTCAATTTGGATTTGTATAGTTAAGAATCTAATGCCAACTAAATAAGTAGATTCTTTGTTTTGCATCCTACAAAATCCAAAGCATGCAAGGGTACAAGGAAAATGAACACAAATTCAAGAAAAAGCTTGCAAGCTAGGTCATATCAGGTTCATATAACCAGCTTTTGCCAATTTAAGTTTTTCAAAAGGATCAAGGGGTGAACATTTGACAATTTTCAAGTGGCCCAGAAATCTTGAAAATGCTCAGAATCGTGAAAAATTGTACTGATTTTGAGAGAATATTTGGCCAATGGAGTGGTCCAGTTGAACCCACGAATGTCCCCCCCTGAATATATACACTTTAAGGGCATAAAGGTTATTACAAACACATCTATACAACTATATTTATTAGACATAGATATGAAACATTTCAGAACTAGATAACAGCAACGCGAGGTGGAGCAAATCCCATCGAACTTTTGATCTCAAAATCGTTCAACTACTTTTCAAGTTTTAGTAAAAAAGTAAAATAAGACTTTATAAAATAGAGGCCACTTTTCAAAATGGCCACCTGGCCAATGTGCCATGCTTATGAGTATCAACATATCAAATGTGAAAAAATAGGTCCACTACTTTTCGAGTTAATATGCAAAATAACACACACTAAGTTAGAAGCCATTTTTCAAAATGGCTGCCTACTTGCCAAAGTGTCATAAGATAGTGTCCCATGCTTGTGAGTTATCACAAATTATATATGCAAAAATCGCTCCATAGCCTATTACTCTTCCCAGTTACAGCAACTTAGAATTTTGACACACATCAAATTGTCCGCTATTTCCAATTCTGATTGAACGAAATGCGATGGTACCTTCAGACCCTTGGGTTGCCATTTGGAAGTGATTGTGTTTTCTGATTTGCTTAAAATCTTGCAAGCAAAGGGATGCAAAACAAATAAGCTAATTCTCATTGCCTAGTCTAAATTAGTGTGTTTGTTCATTTCCCGCCTGCCGGCATAGAAGATAATAATTCATTTTCAGTAATTCATGTTCTTTCTGGTCAAATATAGAGAAAAGTACTTCTCCATTAATCATGAAAATTATTTCTTAAATTATCGGTGAATTAAGCTTTTTAATCAATGGTGTATAAAACTTAGTGATTGGTCTTATATTTCTAGAGATATCGTAGTTTGAAAAGAGTGTTTTTCAGCGCGATTCTTATATTCCTTCTGCAATTCAGCTGCACTATTCATACCTTTGATTGATAGGCTAGCAGTAGATTATGAATTCTTTGAAGTGACAATGTTTTGACATGTACAAACCTTCCTAATTCATAAATATTCAAATCGTCATAGTTACATTTCCTTTTATGACCAGAGATTCTAGAGTTCTCAAGATTTCTGCTAAGTCTAATAACCATCATATTTGTAATGTGTGTGGGGTTGGTGTAAAAAATGGTAACAAGAGGACTGGGTACCAACTATGTTTCCATTGCAAGAGTACCAGGCCTGTCAACTTGGGAACACCTAACATGAGTGACTTGGAAATGTTGAACACCTCCCCTCAAAATGTGGACACCTTGGTCCAAATCTGAACACCTTGATCCAAATTTTGAACACCTTGGTTTAAATTTTATTACATCTTGGCCAAATTTTGAACACCTCAAATTTTTCGCACTCGCTACGCTCGCGTTTAAAACATCCATCAACGGGGGGGTAGGGACGAACAATTTCAAACGCAATGCGTGACATATACGTAATTCGCGTGAAAAGTCCGAACGAAATGCGTACGTTTTTTTTCGGCGTTCGTATTTTTGCTGTGTAGACCTAGGTGTAGACGAACCTTTTTAGAAATTTTTCTACTGAAACATTTTTGCTTGACAATTACCAGGTAAAATGCGTATTTGCGTGCACAGGGAGCTCAAGTTGGAACTATACGTAATCATTTAGTAAACTGGACTGGGAAATCAGAGGTCGAAGGGTTTTTCAATAAAATATATTCCAAAAATTCTTGACACCCAGTAAGTCGTAGGGTCGAAGGGTCGTAGGTCGAAGGGTTTTTAGTACATTCCCAGTCTCAGGACCCAGGCCAACGTCAAAATCAAAATTTACGAAGTTCTTTGAACTTGCAGAATAAGTTAATTATATTATATAACCACTACTCCCTTATGTGGTCGATGTGTTATTGCATCCTACGACCCCTTTAGATTGTGGTCGTATGCCCGATTCATTGGTAAGCCTGTCTTTCTACAATGTCGGAGAATGAACTACGCATTGCACTATTAAATGACCTACCTCGATACATTCCAGAGTATTTAAGAATTCTTTTTATGTTGTTAGATCGCCAATTGTATGGGTTTATCGGCAGAATGAAGAGATTTTACTTTTTACATCGGAAATATGTCAGCAATTTTCAAAATGTCGGAAGGGGAATTCCCCAGGGATTTCCCTTATGACTGGTGCATGCCGGGAACTGAATGGAGGAATTTGACGGTTGAAATAAGTTAAATATTACACGCAAATATTGCCATAAAAAACGAAAATATCTTCGTGTCTTTCTGTGTTACAGGCATCAGCTATTTAGTG